TTACAAAAGTGACATAGATGTACCATAGAATTACAGTTAAACTCTCATAGTATTCTATGTTATTTTGGAGCATGTTTGCCAGTTGTGGAGTCATACTGGGTTTTCTTTTTTAAGGACGTGATGCGACTAAAATGTGGTGTGTTATTACAACATACAAGAAAATAGTTCCTGTTGTTTTCCTCCATGATGATCACGTTGCTCTGAAAGTGACCAAGTGAAAGGGTGACGGAGTGCACACATGTTTTTTTGCACACAAGAAAAACAGAAAGTGGACCCCCTTGCTGGGAACAGCTGTGATGTATTGTTCTTTAATTGGACGGTAAAGGGCACATGGTGTTAGTGTGCCAGTATCAGCTAAGGTTTCTCTTTTGAAAGTCAGGGTTTCCATGTGCCTAATACTTATGAGCCATGGATTTCAGGATGGGGGGGGGGGTGAAACAGCTGACACAACTTTGACATCTTTAACCACAGTCAAAATGTTTGGGGGTAAGGGCTAATCGGAATAATCTAAAATGCTTACAAAAATAACAGAAACTAAAGAAAACAGCTAAAAACATATATTTGGCTAAAGCTAAATCCCCTACAAATGGGTCAAATGATAATTCTGTGATGTCATAAGATGATTAATATCATAACGACAAAAAACATGTTCTTCTTACTGAAGGCTATCTGTTTAAAAGGGTTATTTATAATTTTTTGCTCTTTTATTTGGGACAAAAATACGAGTTGACCCAGTTGTACGCCCAATATAGCTCTGTTTTAAGAAGCCACAATATAATCCATATAGGTCAGGACACTTATTCAAAGCACTCTTACATCGGGGCTCTGTTATACAGATGGTGATTAGAAGACCTCAGGTTTGGTATCTCTTGTTTTTGACTTCAAAGTTAAAAAACATATTCTGAGAAAAAGCCTGAAGGAAGCAGTGAAGCATTGGCCTTCATATGAGGTCTGTTCAAAGATTAACTAGAACATCCTCAGCGTGGTTTCTCTCAAGAGTTCAAAGACCTCGCTGCTTTCTTTGAAGGCGGGGTCAATCCTGTAATTGTCTGAGACAAAACAACTCTCCACGGGGAGTTCGTCATAAGCCCCGTGCTTTCCAACATCAACAGCTGAAAAATTACACGTCCGTCGCCTTTCAACTGATTAATACATCAGGAAAAAGCTCCACAAACAAATAAACAAATGAATGCAACTTTTACATCTTTATGAGATGCCTAAATGAATTGAGAGCTTTCAGTATGCTGATTTATGAATATTAATGGACCACCACTGTTCTCTCCATTTCCCTTGCAGAACTATTCGTGTAAAATAGGGGTTAAGATCTGTAGTGTTTTGCAGCTTCGGTACTAACAGAAACTATCAGTGAAAACAATAAGGGAATTTTAATCATTTTAAAACACTTTGCATGGAAAAGTATAAAGTAGTAAATAGCCCTGTGATTGACTGGCGACCAGTCTAGGGTGTACCCCGCCTCTAGCCAATGACAGCTGGGATCGGCTCCAGCCCTCTGCAACACCAAAAGGGAAAAGCAGTATAGACAATGGATGGATGGATGGAAGTATGAAAATATTGAAATTTTTCACAACCTTAGTTTCTTTTTGCTTTCTTACGGAGACATGCTGCACCAGCTCAAAACAAGCACATAACTCATCGAATGAAATAACTTCTTATTTTCCCCAATCTGCATGACCTTTATGCAAGCTTTGTTATTGCAGCAAGGCCATACAGAAGACAAAATGCCATGAGATTCTCCAGTAATTCCCTCTGGCCTCCTGCGGAGCATGGGATGAAGGTGGGTGGATTACTGTGGGCACAAATAATTCACACAGGCATTTCCTCAGGCATGAGAAGCCACATGAACGCACAACGCAAGTCATCACATCTGACTCCAGTTAGCTAATTTGTGCTTCTTCTCCCATGTAAATAAAAGCGTAAAAGTTTACACGGCATGCATTAGACCTCCATATTTTATCGAATCCAGACACACATAAATAAAGTACTGACTCACTCGGAAATTGGTTTCCTCTGAGTTAACAAACTGCATCTAAAAGTGCCTGAAGTTACTGTGTAAATGAGTCTAACTGCCTCTCCCCAACTTCCCCCTCTCTGCCTCCCTCCTGCACGCCCTCTTTCCAGCATAAAACAGTAATGACCTCAGCCGCAGTCAAGAGTCGGGCAGGTAGCCAGCTTCCTCACTACGCAGCACCAGCAGAACCCTCCAGAGCAAACCGAAATAGCATGCGTCGCAAAAAAAAGGCACAGTCAGAGATGACACACACACATGCTTCCCCCTCCCCTCTGACTCTGCGCGCACACAATAGATCCTGATGGAGCGATATCTGCCTGGCAGCTCTATACAGAAAGGAGAAAAGAGGCCTGAAGTGGGTGAAAAAAAGAAGCACTTTAGTTACTGGAAAAGACAGAAACGCAAGAGGGCTAGGTCTGACCTTGGCTTAAATCTCTGCTGTCAACTTTAACGGTCACTTTTCTTTTCACAAAGCTAATACGGAGTTGTTGGGTGAATGATTCATCAGCCACCATGACATATACTGACCAACCTTAAGGCTGTTGTTGGGTGTGGTTGTATGTTTGTGTAGGAGGGGGGGTCAGAAGTCAAACCTCGTACAAAGACAACACCAAAGCCAAGCCCATTAGTCAATATGTCCTCCTACTTTTGGCCAGATTGGCGGTTTAACAAGAACGAAGGCTTGATTACCGACTCTTTGCGAGGGATAATGAAACCGAGCGGGCCTGCAGACTTTATGGTCAGTGTAGTTAAACTCGAGCACACACTTAACCGCCTTCAATCAGAGCATGATGGACGAGGCCGGGCAGGTAACACAGCAGCGTAAATTAAACAGTTCATCAGGCATGATGACCACGAGAGGCAAGTGCCCGGTCTGTAAACACAAACAGGAACTGCTCGCTAATGATCCAGGAAGATGGAGGAATCTGGGAGTGACGGATGCGGCGAAGTAGCTGTGTAGTTTGTTAAGCCCTCGGTTGAGTCGCAGAGATTTTACAGTGTTTGGCGCTCTGTCAGCAGCAGAGTATTAACGTTACATAACTCACAGGGAAGAGACCTTATGCTTCAATGTAACAGCTGCCCTCTATGATTAAACCATTTCCTGTCCTGAAGCTGAAAATTGTTATTTGGGAAACTTATTATCGACATGGCAACCAAGATTCCACTTCAGGATCCTCATGAACGGCATAAGAACAATATGTGATTTATTACATGCCAGATGTTGTTCTTATGGGGACGCCAAGTAGAGCGTCAAAATAAATCACATTTTCATTGACATAAGCAAACTCAACACGTCACAAAAAGAGTGCTGAACCCCTGTTAAGCTTTCCATGCATCACTTAGTATCTTTTTATTTCACTTATGGTATGGAGCCCCTGGACACATACATTTAAATTAGATGTTACTTCAAGTTAATAGGTGTCCATTTTGTTAGGTTAGTGCTGTCGTAGTACCAGAATTTTAAACTTCAGTATGACACTAGTAAAGATGAATCGATATCAATACCTGTTTCAATTCCACTGTAGCAAAGACAAGTTCTAGACACCCACTATTGGCTAGTATTTCTTGTATGCATAGGCTACTGTCTAGATGGCACACTTTCGCTTTTGGTTAAAATATGGATGAAGATCTGTTGTTAATAGAAGTTGTATTGTTTAAAACATGTGGTATAAAAAACACTGAGGTATTTAAAATCCAGACAACCTGTAGAGGTGAGCTAGTTGATAGGTAGCTGAGAAAGAGGCCAAGAATGACCAAAATATTGTTCGCAAAGACCTTGTGGGAGGAGAAAACAAAAACAGCTCTTCTGCTAAACCATGAGGGAACATAATTTTGTTTAAAGCGACATAACGTTAGGGTTCGGTCTGGTGCGCTTTGACGCCCACTGAAGGTCTCTGCACTGTCATAAAATAACTATTGGATATCAAGTAGGTATAAGTAGCCTACTGACATCGCCAGCTCAGCGTCATGTGCGCACTTCTTGCGAGAGAACCGCAACCAGCTGCCAAAGTTGCATAGTTCTGTAAACAGGCGACAGGGGTGCTCTGTGGGCGTGGGACAGACGTCATTCTCTCCCTGTGAAAAGTTACTTTATTATTAGAGCAACTTAGGAGTTATATAAAATAAGCAACCTTCATTATTTGTTTATTGCCACATCATGTCGTCATGGCAACATCAATGACCGCAGATTTTTTTTTCCCCCCCACATATTGTGACAGCCTTATGTCAAGTGTTTGCCAACTGATTTAATGACTGATTTCAAAAGCGTGTCAAGGTTTTGGCTTTGCTTCTAAAACCCTTAACTATTTTAATTTCATAATCAAACCATACAAAGAAGGACTTCTTGAGAAATGGGCGCTCTGTGCCAACACGTCTATTTGGAGGCATGAACAAAAAAGTTTGAGGAGCTCTAAACAACTTTTTTTTTTTTGGGCAACAATCCAGATGAATACCTAGCAAAAAAAAACTTTCAACTTTGAAGATCAAAGAGAAAAGTTTTGTCAGGTTAAAAAGATGTGAGGCTTTGTAAAGATCCTCTGATTGTTTTGAAACAAACAATGCGTGACATTAAAGTACTTTTTTTTTAACCTAAGAAGTTCACTTCTTCTTCAAAGTAAAATGTCGACTTTCATTTTGTTTGTTCTGCTCTTTAGTTTCTAGTCTTCACTGAGTAAATAGGGGACATATTGGACACCAGAGGGTCCATTGATGCCCCTCCATAAGGGCCAGCCAAGAGCTCCAGGAGACTGCCAGGCGCTGATTGTCCAGGCGCAGATTTGACATTCAAATGAGATGCAGATTTCACACCGTCGGCTTTACTTCAACCTACATCTGTTTTCTGACCCCGCAGTGAATCCTAAAAAACTAAAATAGCCACACTCACTACAGCCGAATAGTTACTTAAAGTCGTCATTACAAGAAGTTACCTCAATAAGTGAAATACAACAGGACATTAAAGCAACAGTGTTACCTTTTTTTTAAACAGTCCAAACGATGAGGAAGTTGCGCGTAATATTCCTCTCAACTCTCCGCAAACAAAGCTTACAAAACTTAAAAAGTAAATCTTCTGTGTTGAATCAAATTCTGTTTTAGTTTCCTCAGTGGGAGAGTTGCAGCAGGACAGTTCCCGTGTTGGTGCTCCAATGTCGGTTTACTTGGCATCTGTGTGGCGCACAAAGCGGCCCTCCCCCTCCGGTCCTCTCCCCTCCCCTCTGCATCAAAGAGCACCGCCTCCTGCTGAGATTTAAAGGGACAGAGACCCGTTTATTCACAACACACAACAATAGGCAGAACTTAAACTTGGGGGGGGGGTTCCAAAGCCATCAGTCCAGGACTAATGGTGATGAAATAAGATCTTCAAAGTTTCCCACAGTAAAGGAATTGTTTGACACCATAAGCTTTCTTGCCAAGTTAGATGAGAAAATTGACAATAGCTTGCGTAGAAAAAAATACAGCCAATGGTAGCTTAGCAGAGCATACAAAATTTAAACAGTTGAAAACAGGTAGTCTGGCTCTGACAAATAAAAAAAAAAGTACTTTTAAAATTCCCTTATCAACTCATTTGACGTTTCAGTAACTTGGCTGGAGTCCTGCAATCCCTTTGACATTACCAGGCAGCTATACAGTAGGCTAAGCTATAAGACACAGTCATATATGCTGACAAAAATTAAGAATTTTTATAAAACAATCAACACACATTTTGGTTAATGAGTTAATGCTTACATGCTTACAATTAGCAAAGTCAGATAGGTAAGCATATTCCCCCCAGTGTCTTAGCTTCATATTGACCCTGCAGACCCATGAGAGTGAAATAAATCTTCTTGTCTTTCTCTTTAAATTAAAATTTCAATTGTAATCTTTAGATTTGCTAAAAATGAAGCACACAACAAATATTGCATGACACAAATGCACTGTGCAAATGAATTAAAATGTCAACATTTACAAACATAATCTATAGTGGCAACCTTCATTCAGCTTCTTGAGTATTAATTCACAGTACTCACCATATATTTGAAAAGTGCTGTCTGAGCATGAGCAGAATCCATAAAATTCAGCAATATAGTATATGTTCAATGGGCTTATGGTTTAGGGCAAATGGAATTCAAGGCAGCAATGATTATGATTAAAGGTATAACATTGTAATTTATAATTGAACGTTTTCATGTCATCAAAAATTGGTGCCCTTTACTCCAATTATTTTTGACAAATTGCAGGTTATATCAAAAAAAGGCCTTTAATTTCAGAAACACAAAGCAATATTACACTGTAAAAAAATGAGTGCCTGTGTGGTCACAGCAGTCATCTGGTCGTCAGGCGTGAACTTGAACTTTTTTTCCACCACTGACGCCCACCTGTCTGTTAAAGCCCTAATCACCCACCTGTAGGTATCATGAGGTTCTTTATTATTTCGTTATGGACCAATTAGTGGTGCAGAGTTTTACAGGCAGCCCTGTTTGGGTCCTTTGGAACTTGAGTGAGGGTTTGCAGGAAAGAAAAAACTTTGATGGTGCATTACCCTGAAGCGGGCCCCTTATTCAATTATTGCTTCCTCGTGTGGCTTTGTGTTATATAACCCATACTGCATGCCAGGAGAGGCTACAGTGAGAAATTGGGACACGAGAGACTCTTTATTGCTAGTGGTCAACTTGACAAACCAACAGGGATAAAAATAATTGTTACCAAATATGACTTCATCGAACAATTTCAGCAATTTATGTCACAATATCCAGCTGCCCCAGAAAGTAGTTCTTGTGTAAGCCCAGGCTTTGGAAACTTTTGGAAATTAAGACTGCATGAAAAGTAAGAGCGAGTCTGGTGGGGGAAAGAGATTCACCAAAAGGGCTCTTTCCCATAATTCACATTAAGTCAGGAACATATTTAAGCATCAACCAAATGCCATATTAGAAAGACATTCAATATCCCTTCTATCAAATTAGTATCCTTTCTCCAACTTGCCAGTATATCCCCTTCAAATCCCCAAACCTCCCTCAGTGAAGCTCACAAATGGGGCAATTAAATTCAGGGTTTGAAACTCCTTTGAAGTACACCTTCTGTCTGAATCCTTTAATATTCCGAGTGTGGGGTTCTCAAAGCTCATCAGGGCTATTTAGTACCTTTGGGCTCCCTTTTTAACAGGGACCACCAGCTCGCTCTTTTCTGTCATTCATTTCCTGGGGGAGTGGGAACGAAAGAGACACAGGGAAATGAACATTTTAGCGTGTGAAATACCTCCTGTCTGTGACTCTTTTGTCAAAGAGAAATTTCCCATGTGTTTACAAAAAAGAGATTAGGGCTCTGGACGTGTTCGTTCCAATTCCCTGGCCTGTCCTATCCTATCTAATCTCTTCTTTTCTCATGCCAGTGTGTTTAGTAGGTTAGCCCTGGATCAAGTTGACTTTGATCCAATTAGCATCCAACACCACCTGACACTGGACACATCCTCCTGCAACCTCCTGCCTTACTAATATGTGTAAGTTCACTCTCTTTTTCATAGTCCAACATTTTGCTTATGCTCTATATAGAGATATAAGCACCCCTTAATGACAGGTATGTTGGGTTTAAAGAGCCAACCGTGCTTGTTTAGTCGACCTAGGAACAAATGCTAATGAGTTATGGTTATCAGGGAGAGCAGAGGAAGATGAAACAGTCAGGAGGGGACATTTGCAGAAACAGGATTTCACAGCGTCTACACTGATCCAATTTATTGCTGCGCCGTGTAACTCAGAGGTTAGGTGAAATTTCATCAACTAATGAGCCATTGACAGATCGTAGTTTTATGGTTACAGATAGCGTTTAAGCAGAGCGCCCGCTGAATGTACATTCTCTCACGTTTTCCTTGATGCTTTTATGATATGCCATTAGGTACATGAGTGACTCAGAACAGTCTTTATAAAATAGACTTGGGGTAATTCTCGGGTAACACCTCAGGTTTCAATGAAAAGAAAAACCCAGGAATTGCAGCCGGATTCTATTGTCAATTAGGAAAATAACCTACTACTCAGTTGATTTATTAATGGATGTGCCCAATTAGCAAACTTATCAATTAAACCTCATTCCTTTTACTGTAGTCGGCACCAGAATTACTAGTGAGTTAAACTGATTCTTAATGTTTTCATTTATTCAGGACTGAAAAAACGGCCAAATGTTGTGGCTAGGGTGTAACTCAGTGTAATTTTAAAAGCCTTGAATGTTTCCTGTTGCCCGTCCAACAGTTTGCAATTGAGTACCAGAACCAGTAACATTCAAAAATAATTTATTTCAGAAATGTTTTGTGATCATATATTCATTCAGATTCTGCATGATAAGCTTTTGTTGCGTACAATGAAATCACCCCACAGGAATAATAAAAATAAAAAAAAAGTCGATGACATTTTTTTTCTTTTTTTGGGAACTGTGGAAACTAGCAACACACTTTGTCTTCACTATAGCGTCGTGAGTGTGCCTTGCAGGCGACCGGACAGCTCACAGTCCTCTGTGGCAGGTTTACAATAACTGCAGGACAATCTCTTTTTAACCAGACACACACTGAATGATCTGTAAAGCTTATGCACAAGAAGTGGAGTCACACACATACTCACACACAGGCATTAGCATTCAGGGCAGTACAGCCACACCTGAATATTACCCAGTGGTTGATTACACAAAGGGGAAAGAGGTGAAACTCAATGACATCATCTCTTGGCGCAGGCCCAGCGCTGCCCCGCGATAGTGATCAGTAACAGAGAGCCGTCAGCTAGCAGGGGAGGAAACAGGAAAAAAAAAGAAACATTTCTTATCAAAATCACACTGTTACCATTTAGCAGAACCAGCAGCTGTGCCCACATGTGACTGTCCCAGGATACTTCAGACAGTTCTGACACTCTTATGCTGGATTTCAAAGCATCTCAGTAGACATAAAGTATGCAGAATGGGACTGATGTGTGTGTATATGTGAGCCAGCAAAGGGTGAAAAAATATGGGTTTGTGTATGCAAATTTATTCACAGCCCACATCCATCAGGATTAAAAGAAGGCTCTCGAAAGCGTGAGGGCGAGCCATTACGATGCCACAGTCAAGGGCACCATCAGCAGTTCAGTCACAATTGGTGCCGGATATCATAAATAAGTGTTTACTCTATCAAGGCATCTTTGATCCACTGTAACACACTCACAAAAAAGACTTTAACACTTTCACTTTAACAGATATACACGCCTTTTATATATCTGCAAGGATCTCTCAGGCACAAGAGTCTTCAGCATTTGACCCTCCATGGCCAAATGTTGTTCAACTTTTCAATATATTTGTGTGCAATAGGCCGGAGAGTTGTTTCCTTGGAAACGCGTGATTGTTGCACCAATGTTCTCCTCAAGCTGTCCAGGCCAACACGTTAAAATTTGTTCGATTTGGCATGAATTCCACATCCACTTCTGTCTTTTCTCTTTTTCATTCTACATCCAGTTCATCCAGTCCAAACACTTGTCCTTTTACGTCCACAATATGGCTCCATCATATTCTTCATTCAGTCTCCATCAAATGCACAATCTGCAGTGGATTGATTTTGTCATCTAGGTACATCTACTTTATATTCATATATATATGTATGTATATATATTTATATGTTTGTGTTTCTCCAAAGATTCTTGTGACTTTGTACAGAATCAGACGGCATCATTTCAATTTGTTCAAAGAAGCGTAACAAAAAAATGGAAGAACAAATAGTTATGCAAGTCATGCAAAAAGTTGAAAAAGCAAAAATAAAATAAAAATATGTTAGTGAGTATTTTATCATCTAGTGAAAAAAAAAATGCACACACACTTTCACACATTTAACGATGAAAAAGAGCCCCAGAGAGTCTTATAGTTTTAGTTCCAGCCCGACTAGAGAAAAATGAAATGTAAAAAAGTGGAAAAAGAAAATTAATGAAAATAAAAAAAGGCATTTAAAACTTGATTGGTTGAATGTGTGTTGCCATGTTATCCATCAACACGAGATGGGAAGATATTTCCAGAAATTTCTTTGTCCTTTTTAGCTTTTTTTACACAAAAGAGGAAAATCCAGCGATTGGGGCCCGCGAGCCAGGTGCTAGGCTGCTGGGTGGCCTGTAGAGGGTGCTGTGCTGGCTGGGGGGGTTGGAGCTCTGCTGAGAAGGGGTGGGAGTCCGGCTACCTTTGGGCCTGAAGAGGCTGCCCTGGCCCTGGGGCTGGCCCTGCGCTTGCTGAGGCTGGGGGCTAGGTGAACTGAGCTGGGGGGGCAGGGGTGGTAAAGGAGGCAGCTGTGGCGGTGCACAGACCGGGTGATCCGGCTCGCCCGACTCGGACTCGGTGTAGCTGTAGGCCTGAGCGCGGGATATGCCTTTCTGCTGTCGGCGCCAGGAGTTGTAGTAGGTGGGGTCGCTGATGTAGTGGTTGACGAAGGAGTGGGTCTTCTGTCGGTTGGGGTCCACCTCATACTCGCTGTCGCTGCCCTGTGAGACGGAGAAAACAAATAATTTATTAATCGAGTCAGCATTCAATGACTGCATGTCTGTGTTTCCATGTGGGGCAGTTAGAGATGCGGAGGCTATAAATGCAAATGATCATGAAGTTATTTAATTATTTTGAGAGATATCCTCAATTCACAATCACCCCTGTTTCAACAATACACACATGCACACACACTTACATTTACAACACAGCACAGGAACACATGGACACCAAAAATGGTCAAAAATGGTCGAAGCATGATAACGGAAGGATGAACTGGTAATGAAGCGTGCATTGTAAATGGACCATCAACACAAGAGGGCAAAAGCCAGGTCTTAAACTAGTCAGTCACTGGACCAAACTTCATGTTCAAGATCTTTGTATCCATGTCAGGAAGAGGTGATGTGGTGTTTTATAGCAGGGTATACCATATACAAACCTAGAATGGGAATCTTAGGAGAGAGGACTGAATGGGATTGAACTAGCTAAAGGAACCAGTCACCTATCAGGCTACAAACATTGAAAGCAGGCAGCCACAGGAACCTCACCAAATGCAGTGGAAGTGTATGTAGGCCACCTGTCCCATATGAAAACACCAGCGCCTCCTATGGGTGAACAAAACAATGGGTTTTACAGAGAACATCGCCATAACAGAATGAATCAAATGGCCCAGTCATGATGATGAGAATATCATACATATGTTATACATATATATATGCTGACGTTCTTTGTGAATGGTGTGGAAAGCTGAAAAAAAAAAAAAAAAAGCAACTAGGGCTGCAAATACTAATTATTTAAGAACCCAAGGCGGACATATATCCATATATTTTAATATACTAAATTTTCCCGTGAACAAGTTATTTCCGGTTGTGTTCTCAGATCTCAACTTATTTATGTTGTTCTGATAAAATAACAATGCTGGTTTTTCCATTGATGACATGTGGATTTCTTAAGATCTTGAGAAATGACTGGAAAAAACTCATCATGGGAGAACCAGCATTGGTATAACAAGATTAAGAGAATGCTTATCACTGTTTACGAGATCCCCAACCAAGCATCTTGAAACTGATTTTGTTTTTTCTCAAACCAACTGTTCCAAACTCAAAAAATTAGCAAATTATGTAATAAGATACTCATTGCAGCTGGTAAAGAATAATGACGTCGTGCAGCACATTCTCTAACATCAAAAGTGTTGCTTTAGGAGTTAAATTGGAAAAAAATGAATTATTATTCTTTAGTAAATCCATCTGAATTCCGTTTTGGCCATCTGTAAAGGAAGGAATAAACCTGATCACATTCTTGCCACTGACCCAACCACCTTGCTGCAGGCGGAGCTTGAAACACCATTGTATTCATGTCAAGCCACATTCCATGTGTCAAACAAAAGGCAATGGTCACTCAGTGGGGATTGCCTATCATAAGGTAATTGCTACGAAAGCAAAAAGCCAGTTTTCCCAGCTAGTCTGCTATTAATCCCCTGGCTGCAATGAGCTAATGCACAATCAGCTTTGCCAAATTGGTCGTCGGATAATTTCCCTGAGAGGTTGATAGGAGTATTAGTTGCGATCCGAAAGTAAGCAACAAAGGCTTGTTCTTTTCAGAACAGCAGAGTGCAGAGATGATACTGATTATTATGTCTGTCCCAATGCCATATAATCATGCTTCATCATCTCATACAGAAACATTGCTCTAGGCACGCACTCGAAGGACACACTCCAGAGCACAGCACATATGTGATACATATGGCAGTGGTCTCAGATTTCCCTCAGTCTTACATGCCTCATGTCTACAATGCAACCCCCGTTGTACAGTATAAAAGCTTTCCTTTTTAGTCGTCAGCAGAGATTAAAAACGTCCAAACAGAACAATGCTTGTGTTGAATTAAAGGAATAAGATCCAGCTTTCTTGTTCCCGTTTGGTTCTAAACAAAGGCAATTGATCTCCCTCCCCTCTTGCTCTCATTTTTACAGAAATTAATCCAAGGCAGACATTCTGCCCAGTGAGGTTTGGCTCAACATTCAGAAGTTGATCACACTTCCTTTTTTTTCTTACTTATTTATTGTAATTCTTCGCATATGGAGCGTAGGCGTGTTGGATGCATCATTGGCTGATTGTGTGTTTGTTGTCCTTCACTAATTTTGTCCCCCCTAGTAGTAAACACTTGAGGCTGACCTGTGTTGGAAAGCATTCCGGTCATGCCAGCGTGTTTAGCAACACAACAACACAATAAAAGCGAACCATAAAGACATAGGCTACTGAGCCACTTCAAGCAGCATTACCTCACTCCAAAGGCATTAGCACTGCAGCGAGAGATGAAACATCACTCAGGTTGTGTTTGTGGCAGTGGAAAAGAGGCAGCGCAGACCAAGTGTTGACACAGTCCAAGTCTCTGCTTGGCTGTGGAGTGTGTGCAACAGATGTTCTGACTCTAGGGTTGCCCTCTAATAATCAGCCAAAGGTATGTACATGAAAAGTGTCTTAGCCAGCCAAGGTTTTATTGGTTGGATATTCCCAGAAAAACAACAAAAAAAAAAATCCATCAAAGAATTTCATCACATCTGTTGTAAGTGTGTCTACTAGACATCTCTGTCATTTTAAGGAAAATGTTTTTTTGTCCAAAACATGACTTCCATGGTTCATTAAGTTTCAAGCAGCAGAAAGTATTTCTGAGGGGTGTTTTCACATCACTTTTGTATAAAGGAAGAAGATGGAGATGCATAGTCCATATTTATATACAGTAAATGGTTTTGAAATACTTTTGATTTTTTTTTTGTGGCTTTAGCATGGACTTTAAAATTTTATAGAGGTAATTTAATGAATTTCATAAACCTGCAAAGACTAGTTGATGGCTTAAACTAATGAACTACTTGTTGACTATAAAAATCCTGAGTTTTGGGCAGCCCTATCTGACTCTCAAAATGTTCTACATTCAGGTTGACAAAACTCAAATTAGTCCTCCTTTGATTTTGGTCAATCACATATCATTAAGAAAATAATTCAGACCCAAACTAGGAGCCTACAGTGGTCATGCTTGACAGTTTGCCTCGGGGGCAGCAAGGCCTGTGAAACTGCTCCCTTAATCAGCTCATTACAAGCTAATTACTTAAGCTGAATGCTGTGAAAGAAGCAGACTTTAGGCATGAAATGCAGCATTGCACCTCAGCCCTAAGGGAACCACCATCTCATTTATGCAAGGATATGGGTAAGACAGACACATAGCAGCCTGCCAGTGACAATTATTAAACATTATTTCATCATTATGATGTTCAATAAGGCAGAGAAACAAATCTATCCAATTAACTGGCAAACCTCTCGGCAGTAGTTTTGTTTATCTTTAGGATAATAAAGTTGTCACTGTTTACACATACACAGGAGAGAGAACGATTCCCCGCATCTACACAGCAGCCATTTTCCACTGACCTCATGCTCAGGGTACGAGGAATTGAAAGGAATAAATCTTTTCACCAAGGTACGAATTTGCCTTAGGCTCTCCAAATTCATTTAACTTAGTTTATTGGTTTATTTGAATCAGGGACAGTGTACAAAAAAACATTTGTCTCAGAAGAGAAGAGATGCTTTGTACCAAATAAATGTAATAATTTCGTATCTCTATTTCTTGATTCGCAAATTTTAAACCAGAGGAAAATGACAAATTGTTGGCTTTGACTGCTTTGGATAAAAGCGTCTGCTAAGTGAATTTTATAATTGAATTGTAGATTCCTTAAATACTCACAAAGTGGATTTTGAAACTTTATAAACTTCTCAAGGTAAACAACATATTTTGTTAACATGTTGGCTTCTGAAAAACAGGACACAATGCTAACTTAAGAAATCAACACATTTCTAGCTGACATTACCTTGACTTAGCTCACATTACCATTGTCAAGCTAACATTTCCATTAGTACAATAACTGAATAACTTAATTGTAAGCTAGCTTATAATACATACTGTTTGCTAGCTAACATTACCACAAGCTAGAACTGTATTCCGTACCAACCTTAATGTGTAACACAATCCAATTCCTAGTTATGTTAGCTAGGAATTGGTTGAATGCTAGCCTAAGTAAGTAACAGAACTTAGTTGCAAGCTACTATTTAGTAGCTAATATTACCATAAACAAGGATTTTATTCCTGTTCAACTGTCACGTGTAAGGCTATTAAACAATTGTGCTTGCTAGGAGTTGGCTGAATGCTAACCTGAACAGTTGGCTAACAGTAGCAAAGAAGTAACAGTATTTTGTCTTGTGTGGCCCAATGTCCCGCTGGATTTTTACTATCAATGTGTGCTTATGAATTGTCAAGCCATTAAATGACAGCAATTTTTCAGAATCCCTTTTTAAGTTGTAAGCTTTGCCTTAGAAAAAATGGCCAATATGGAGAAGGTGGAGATGTTAAAAAGGGTTTAGCAGTGCATTAACAATGGGAAAAAATAACTCTGGCCAATAAATAAGCTGCTACAGAGCTTGAGAATTGAGAGAACTTCTGATCTTCTGGCACTAAACATATCCATTCTTTCATATTCAAGCTTATATTTTGTCCCAAAAAGCTTCTTTATGGTTAAATAAAATTACATTTAGTTTTAACCTTCCTATGGTTTCTTTACTGGCATGAGACAGAAGCAACAATCTAATAACAAGAATTTCCCCAATCCCCATCCCCATCCCCCTTTCCCAAAATGAATGCATACCCCAATACCACAGAGTGGGTCAGTCCTTTGTCCTCTAGTTATGGATTATTGCAAAGAGGAGGGGGAAGAAGAAGGGGGGGGGGTGTGGCTGTCTGTGTCACTCTCATTGATGAAGTGAACACAGCAGGGGTCCTCAGAGACAATGACAGTACATGAGGGACTGGAGGAGAGGGATTAAAGAGTCCCAAGACATTCACAGTATGCATACATTTTTAGTGCCTTAAGCGATATTTCAAGTCAGAAAAAAAAGTATTAAATTGGAGGGAAAGCAGGAAGAGGACAATATGTTTAGCAGTATACTTAAATTCCTGCTGCATCAAAGTCAAGTTGTAATTTGTCATTATCAAAGAAGGAATATAGACCTCTCTAGGTGCTCATAACCCTTCTCTGCTAGAGTTATGTGGTTGATCAAAAAGACATAACCATGGGATTTGACATTAATCAAAGAAGAGGTAGTTTCATTATGTTTCCTTATTTATTATGATTTTGTTGTAATTTACTGTCTGTAGTTCTAGCGAGTAATGAGGCAGGCTTTCATCTCACAATTCCTCGCTCTCTACTGCCCCCTCAGATGCCATAAAATTATTACAAAATCTAATTTATTTGCGGTCAATTCCCTTAAACCTGGGTCATGACATCATCCGTCAGACTGGTTTAATAAAAAAACAAAGCTGTATGTTGTCATTATAGAGACAGTCCCAACATTACAGACAGTGTTCTCGGTTGAGCCCGAGCCAAAAAAGCTTCAGCAACATGAGAGACAGGAGGAGGGTGGCAAAGGGTGGAGAAAGCAAAGAGTTAGACGGAGAGAGAGCAGACATTTTCATTTCCCTCTACCCCCCCCCCCCCCCCAACCCGGGAATGCTGCTCTGCAGAGAAAGAAAGTGAGATCTACAATCCATCTCTGACTCAGAGATGACATCACCTGTCTTCGACTGGTTTCGGCCTTTAATGGCACACAAAGACGGTGCCACACAGACAACCTTGGGGAAAAAAAGAGAAAGCCTATACTGTAAAGGAAAAAGAAATCAATAAGGGAATACCTACAGGGGAGCAGAGCAGTAATGGTGGCCTTATTGCCTTGCCAAGTCAATGTTAGCTTCCTCTAAATCCGCTCTTGAGGAGGAGTACAATACTCATCTTATACCTGCTGGTGGAGGCCCCCGCGGATTAAAGAGGACAGACAGCACAATGTCATTACGATAGCTCAGAGTTATCCGCTGAGTAAAACTTCAAAGAGCATTCCTGGGTGCCTCCGTAGCACCACTGGGTGCTGATTCGTTGGGGCTGTAATGGGCATGGCAGAGGTGCCAGAGGGTAAGCAGTCAGGGCTCTGTGCATTTCAGCCCATCAAAGCCAACATCTGCTGGGTGTGTGTGCAGTGTGGCAGCAGGCAGATGTTCTACTCTCTCACTCTGGAGGAGAAGTTAGCGTATTAGGCCATGTTTGACAACACAGAAGTGCGAGCAGTAGATATGTCAGAGGGGGGCGACGAAATGACGAAATGATTCCTTTGAGGGGATGTTATCGTGCTGCGACAGGTCCTGTCCGTAGTGATTCATTGTGGGGAGATTTTTCATTTGATCTGGAAGTAGGACTCGGGTCCAGATAAGGCCAGGTGGAGAGAGATTTCTGGCTGTGGAATTCACACTAAAGATGTACCCAGGTTGAGAGATGTGCCGAGATAATTTGGGAATTGCCTAGAGTAAAGAATTCCAAGATGAAAGAAGGCACTGAAGGAAGCCTTGAAAGCAACAGAGTTCAAGACCACTCAACCCCCCCCCCCCCCCCAACTGGCGCTTTCATCTGATGAGGATCAAAACCAGACTGAGAACCGCGAGATGGTACAACCAAAACCACAGAGAGCGGAGGAGGAAGGTGGCATAAACAAAAACAGAAAGAGCATATATGTATGTTAGACATAGGGGAAGAAACTGGATAAAAGACAGGACAGAATTCAGGAGATCAGAGACATGACGGTGAACAACACAACAACTGATCAATGAAGCTATCGCGTTAGACTCACTTACTTTGCTAGATTCAGCAAACGCCAAAAGTCAGACATCCTAGACATAGTTTGTTGATCATCTATTAGTCAAGATGAATTCTGCTTCGAGGATTCAAAACTGGGAGTTTTCACTTCTAAAGCGCTAATGATGCAAGCTAACTAAGTATTCTAGATAGCCTCTGAGAGAACTCTGACTTGACTAACTGGAAATTCATGAAAATTCAGAGGGGAAAGTTTCACAGACTTTCTTGGCAGGAACTTCCAATACCTATCTAGCCCCTTAAATCCCTTTTACAGAGAGCGTCTGCCCACGTTGTCTTACATAACGAGTGCTGTGGCTGAGAGCAGTGGCCTGGATCACAGGTAGATGTTTTCCAGAGCGACATTCTCCACAGGTCACCGCCTGGTCTAAAAAAAAACTGTGTTGCAGCCTAGTGAACAGAGTCATTAATCTCTCATCTCTTCTGTATGTATTACCGTAGCTCTGCTTCTATGACAATCGCAGGCTGAGTGCATTTAGATGTGCGACAAAGAAAAGTGGACAGTATGAATCGACACACTACAAAGGCGACAATGAAAAGCTGAATTCCTGAGGAATTCAAGGAGATGACAGCCGGCACACAGACAGTGGACAGGTACAAACATAGACAAGGTACAAACACACATATAACAGATACAGACTTTATGCAGACAGAGAGTGAACCTTTTTTTTCACATAATAACATATGGTACAAAGTTACTACTGCACCTGTGAGTCTGAGATTTCTGAGGGTTTTTCGGTCAGACTGCTGCTCTCTGCAGGGATCAGGTCGTTGTACTTTGTGCTGACGTCCTCGTCTGAATAGTGAAGACTGCCCGGACTGGGCCTGGGAGGAGATCTAAAGGATAAAGACAGACATTTAGAATTACTTCAAAAATGTAGTTGACCCTGGCAGTGTCATGGTAACTATTTCAAATCTGTTATGACTTTAATTCCCCTGAATAACAACTTGGGTCATATATTATGCAGTGTTTGATTCATCCAATTCACTGCTGAGAACTGGGACAAAGGTGATATTACAAAAAGTAAACTGTGGGCAAATATGATGAAGATGACAAGAGAGCTTTAAAGAGTACAAGAAACTGACTTTTTTTTTGGAAGGGAAACCAAATGTTACTTTTAAGTGAACTGTCTGATCACTGATTGACTGTGCAGAATGACATCCTTGTTCAGCTTTGAACTACAGTACTACCTGGAATCGTGTGCACACAGTTTTCCCCCTAATAATAGTTAGGGATTATTGCAAACATTTTTGGCACGCTCAAGTGTATGGGTTACTTCTTAACTTTTGTGGAAAGTTCTGGAACGTTTACAGCTTGTTAATTTTCTGAGGACATACAATATAGACTATTTGGCTCTGCATTCCAATGAAACCAGTCTAGCATGGTATTATAGGTGAGCATTTCTAAGGGCCTAGTAGAGCTGATTATTTTGTGAAGGCTTTGCTGCAATGCAACTTCATATACTTGCGAGTGCATGCTTCAGGTACATCACTTGAATGCAATATTTCTGCTGGTTCTCTTGTTATCTCACTGAAAACGCTGTTGTTTCCAGAGTAGTTGCACCTGCATACAGAACGCTGTGAATGTCTTTAAAGTTGTGGGTTTTTTTTGTTTTTTTACACTGACTTTAGCTCAATTTTTTCTTCTGGCAGCCCCCTAGAAGATGCTGAATGAAGTCGAGAGGAGCCGACGTGAAAACGCAGGAGAAGATATTCAGGGAAGAAGTGATGATGTTCATATCCTGTGACCGGCGAGTGACCGGTGTGATCTTCTGTGGCTACAACATGTCCCGCCTCCTGAGAGACCCCCCCGTCCCCCTCCCCTCCTGTCCCCCTCCTCAGGAATAGCCTCCCGTTGTGAGGTGCATGCATGAACTTGTGCAACTCAGGAAGTTTTCAGCAGCCACCTGCCTGAAAGTTTCTAGAAATGTTAGGAGCTCATATGAAATGAACTTCATATATGTGTTGGATAGTATTTTATTGTTTCATAAATCACCTGAATCTCCAAGGAGGAATCTTCTAACAATTGTATGATTCCACTTGCCAACTCATCTGAAATATATAGTTCCCCCTTCAGACGTTGTTGTATTAGTGTTACAAAATCTCCCAGTTTTAATGTAATGCTAATATATCCAAAATATTTAATGGCTAAAATGATGTGCATACCGTCGTCTTTCCTTAACCCAGAATATTTTTTAAGCGGTTTAAGGATGAGCAATGTATCACAATGTCTGAGAATCGTGGGATACTCAGGAGACGTAGTGAATCCTGGAATAAATCATTCCCCCTGATTCCGCCCGCTCTGTGGGCTGTGGAATGTCAAACCACCGGGGCCCTTGTGACTAAATTATAAACTGAACTCTCGCCGTGCTCGAGAGGTCATCAAACAAAAACGGCAGCCTCCGGCTTTGATCTGGCAAATGTTATCAGAGCCGACACGAGTGATGGCGCGGATTAAACCGTCGGTGGCATACCGCGGCGATCAAACACATCATTTGGATGTAAATGTAAAGAGTGAAAGTGATGGGATTGAGCAAAGGGAAGACCCTTCAAGGGAGTTTTGAGTGGGAACACGGCAGAGGAGTGGTGTTTACTGAAGCTAAAAAACTGAACGTGAAAGAGTTTGGAATGAGTCAAAATGAGGGCAGGAAGGAAAACGTTCCTTAAAAATGGCTTCCCTAGTCAGGCGTTCTTTAAGTAAATATGAGACGAGGAAAAACCCTCGCTGCCTAAGCTCCTCCATACTTTCCACTGTCCCCATCCTGCTAAACAAACACCCATCTGTTTCTGCTGATTGGTGCTGGTTTGGCTGAGACTACGGGGACATACTGACTCCGGCTCATTTTTCCAGGCCTGAGTGTGGGCCAGCCAGAGTTGCCGTTGGAGCTTCAGCAGCAAATACACATAACAGCTCTTTACGCGTCTAAACCGCATTTGCATATTTTGAATAAATATATTTTGAAAGCATTTCAAAAATGTTGTGGATAAATTCCAGCAGTTTTCACAAGCGGCGGTGGGATTTTTGAGCGGACCAAATGGAAGACTCCACAGGGAAATCACAGAGAAAGCTGTAATTCAATTTCCCCTTGATGTGTTGTACGAAAGCAGATTAATTCACTTAACCTGAGTGGACGAGCGTACAATGTAGAGCTACTTCTGTGATGTGCCGCAGATTGGCTAATTATGGTCATAATACTGTAAATGTATATTTTAGGATGCTTTACAGAGCTCATGCTCAACAATAACTTCCATGATGTTTTGCAATATTGCCAATGCTTCTCTGATAAAAGAGGAAGAGGGGGTTAAAAATGCTAACGAATTATCTGTAGCCAGCTAAAACACTCAATTTCAACAACTCTAAAAAATATATCATGCTCAATAGGCTCTGTCGGAGTTGAAATAGTTATTGTACAAACTCAATACTGTTGGTCTATCTCAGCATCCTTTCTCAGCATCTGTCTGAGAAACGATCCCACTAAAAGTCCCAATTTTCTGTCCTATTGAAGCTCTTGTTAGGAGTATTTAGCTGGTTTTGAAACAGGATGTAATGAACACTAATGCCTCTACATGATCAATACAAGCAAACAAGACCATCTGTGAGAAGATTGGTTCTTTCTGTATAGTTATATGAAAGGTCAGTAAATGTTGCAAAGTGGTAGGTGTCAAACAATGTAACCTACAGCTCGCTGTTGGTGGTTTATTCTTTACAAAAAGACTCACCGCTTTCCCACTTCGATATCGATTTTAAGGTTGCGCTGTTTGTTTTTAAAGCCTTAATGGCTTGCACCCCCAACCCCCGTACATTACCAACCTCCTTCACTCGTACTCTTTATCTAGGCTACATAGATCGCTTGCGGCTCAAGCTAAAAGGTGATCTTGCATTCAAAGTGGAACAGTGGAACAGCCTCTGCCGTTCCGCCAACTCTGCCCCCTTTCTTTAAACTTATTTTTTACATGTTAGCGTTTGAGTCCGCTGGTCCTGAATAGGTTGTTTCTCTCAGGTTTTGCCTTTGTTGCTTTATTTTTGTTTCTTCTCACTTGCTCAAAAGCCATGAAAAGGTTATCGGGGTGAACTTAAGTAGATGAGAGTGAAAAAATGGGCATTTCATACAATACAATAATCCAATCACTACATTTTTATTTGTATAACGCCAATTCACAACATATGTTATCCCAAGACACTTAACAAAGAGCAGCTCTAGACCTTACTCTTTGTGTATATCTACAAAGACACAATGTCAGTAGTAATGGTACGTGTAGTATTGGCAGTAATAGACTGATCAGTCTAGCAACTGGTGTATTGTTTGTCTTGATGTGTTCTCTGTCAAGAGGAACATTGAAATCCCGAAAGCCCACAGGCATTTGGTCTAAGGGAAGCCACACACAACAACAAGATGGAAGATGCTTTGGTTGAGAATGTGTTTTCATTGTGCTTCTTGTGTAATGATTGTATGGCTTTGGAGAGGAGTGCAAATGGAGACTTCACTGTTGGTTGATTAGTTACTGTTTCTGTAATTTTTAGAGGACATCCTTCAGAGCAAGTCTTAAAATATGGTAGTTGTGAGTTTAATGTTGTGCATAACTTTAAAAAAAAACATGTGCAAAACATGTTTGAGAAACTAGGTCCTGTCAGTGTGAACCAGGAGCTGAAAACAACAAACCAAGTGGGAGTTTGACTTCACTCTCTTATTGAACAACATTACTCAACAAATATTTTGTTATTTATTATATAGATATATTTGATATCTGCAATTACCAGTGTTTTTAAAATGTTGCATATTATACCTTTAAGTCCTGCCTCTTACCATGAGCTCAGCAAATCAATGTGCTCTCATTTCCAGATAAATCGAGCTACTTAATGTCTACCAGGTTTCCTCATTGTTGGTAGAGTATGTGCTCTGAATTCGGAGCGTAAACATTTCCTCTAAACTGCAGTGTGGCCCGTGCAACCCTTCAAAGTCATTTCAATGCCAACACAAGATAATGGCCTTGGTCTTCAGCCTTTCTCAGAACTCTGGAAGGTCCCTTGAATCCAAAAGTCCTTCATAATAATACCTACAGCCAAGAGAATTTATGCTTGGGATAAAAAAAGAAAGAAAGATTGATTCATGAAGATATTTCTTTGAGCCTTGGTATAACTCAGAAAACATCACAACAAAGTCTTAATCACAGCACTGAATTCCTATCTGCACTTATTCCCTAAAGGACCCTTGAGTGTAACCTTTACCAACCTGCATTCCTCAGCAGTCCTTGCAAGCGAGGCCTCCTTACAACACAGGCAAACAAAGAGCTGCAGCCAATGTGAAGAAATGCTATTGAGAGCCCACTAGGGCATTATGATAAACTGCCTGTTTAAAAACATTGAGAAAGCTCAGCCCACTTTCACCTCTCCTCCTTGACTCTCATCCACTGTCGAGTGAGGCGTAAATTATTTATCAGCTCTCGAGCTTGGATAGAGACAGGTCCACTTAAATCCTCTGGCAGAAGAAAAAAACTGACATCAGCCAGCAGTAGGTTGGGTAAGAAATGAGAACCACGGGGTGAAATCAAATCTGCCCCTGGTCTTTAGTCATTATCAGGCGCTCCTCTCGCTACAGTCGCCTGTGGGGACTCATTACCATGTCTGAAGTGTTCAAGAGCTTTGTCACTCAAGAGTGTTTAAAACCATGTTAATCTTCACTGAATAACTTCACCAGGACCTCCCAAGACCCGAAAAGAGGGTGTCAAAGAAGGTTCTACACTGTTCAAAGAGACTAAACAAAGCCACAGAGGAGTGATGCAGTATTTGTATGACAACAATGGTAATCGTTGATTTTTTTTTAAACAGTAAAACAGGAACCAATTTGGATGCAAGTGTTAGGGTTCATCTGGGTTGTGGGTGTTGTATCTGTAATTTTGTAGATTTTTCTTGTATTTGTACTTTAAAGGAAAGAGAGCGGTACACTTACCGCTCTGTATATCTGTCCTTTACATGCAATTATTCTTTTATTTCGGAGGGGGGGGGGGGTCTCATCCTGCTTTCTTCTTTTTACTTCAGCAACAGTAGAACAATTAAGTCCAATCTGACTCTTTCTTTATAAACAGTACAACAGATTTCTGTACTTCTACTAGATTTAAAAGTTTGTGAGCTGTCCAAGTTAAACTTTTATTTTATTCCTTAGGTGGGCCATGGAACAGATAGATCAAGTGCATTGGAGTATTGTTGCTATTCTACTTCTCCAAGCCTTCACTTCAACCTTCTTACAGTGCTAAAGAGTCAAATTGACATTTTAAGTGGTGACATATTAAGTCATCTGTCACCAAAACTGAGCTGCATTGACTTCTCTGTGGCTGTGATTGAATTTACAGAAACATGCACATCGGCCCCTTTTGTTAATCTGGATACAAATGCAGAGAAAGTCTCCGAGCAGAATCAGCCGTAAATGTCATTTGCAGTCTGACACAGCTCTGAGTCAGACTGAATACGGCAGGATTAAGAATGTGTTTGATTTCCGATCCGGGTATCAAGGCAGAGCACTTCACCCCCCTCTTTGGGATTCTGAGACCGGAGATCAGGATGTGGCATTAAACTGTAATCGGAGGCTCAGGTGTCTGGATTTGGGCTCCTCTACTTTGGGCTGAGTTCAAAGACGGCTGGTTCTGAAAGTACATCTGTGCATTCTTTCATTCCCGGTCTCCCACTTCAAGCAGGAGACATAATAGGGAAGCCCCCTGGAAGCTCCTCAAAGCCCTGGACCTGCTTTGATCTGTCCTCGAAGACACACTTACATGCACACATACAAATGCACACGGCCAAATAAATTCCTCGAACATTCTCATTAAAAAAGAATTCACTTTTTACAAAAATGTGTATGCAGACTTGTACAGGTGTGCAGGGGTGTGTCCAGATTTTTTTCTTACTGGGGTGGCCCAATTGTTAGATTGTGTGTATAGGGTTTTTTTAATGTAAAAAATAACACATCAAAGTGGCAACACAAATATACCTTCCATGCATCTTTCTTTAAAGACACTAAGAGAAATGGTAGCTTCAAAAGCCACTGTAAAAAATGGACCAACAAAACATTAAAATGCCAAAATGCTGCTTATAACCTGTTGCCAAGCAGCTTAAAAAGTTGGTTTGAACTTTAAGACCAAAACAAAGCTTTTCTTTGGCAATACTTCCAATTTCACTCAGCGCACCACTTCCCCTCAACCCACCTCCGCTCCCTATAGCCCTGTCTCCCCCAAGCGGTCCATTTTGGTTCAGTACTGTTTGGTACAGTTCGGTAACCCTGAACTTGCTTGCGTTTTCCACAGCCAAACGTACACTTATTTGGTAAACAGAGTGTAAGCCAGATGGAGATAGCCGCGTCAGCTACAAAACAGCTTGACATCACATTGTACACGTTGTAGCCCGCTATTAATTAAGTTCAGAAGAAGAAGAACAGGACACAGTAAACAAAAGGGACCCTGTAGGGTTGGATCGTAACACTTGGCACCCCAACAGAAGGGTACCAAAAAAGTAGGAAGGTAAGGATCCCTTATTTTGGGACCATTCCCAACTTTTGACGGTGGAAACGCCATCTGATCCGGACCCACTGGAAACGAGGCATAAGTGTTCTGACCGCACAATCAGGCATGCGCACACACACACACACAGTGTTGTTCTGCTGTGCCATCTCGTTACACACTACTACCAAACTCAGCCATGTTAGCCTCTGTTCAATCCTCCAATGGGTGAGGAACGACTTTTGTCAAGACATTCCGTCTTTGTGCATTACACATTTCAGACAACTGGCAATGTGTACAGGGCTACATCCCAGCCCCCACCCGCCCTGGAATCACCCCTGCAGTTCTGCAAACATATTTCCTTTGGGCATGAAATAAGAGTGGAGTAGTCTCCTCCAAATCCCATCACCCTGTCAGTAATACTACAGAAGACTCTGTCACGCCCTACAAACCTTTCAACTGTTTCTAAATCAGCCTCACATATAAGCAGGTACGTAAGATCGTAAGCAAAGTATGCAGATCCAAACTTTGACTTTAACACAGTGCTGTTCGTGCAGCTGTCAGAATGAGTGATCGGCTTTAAATGAGGTCACGGTATCAACACGCTTCATGTCTCACAGCAACGATTCACTGCCATAAAAAGCTCATTAAGAAAGCATCCGCAGCGAGTCCGTTTATTTCTCGCCTTTAAATAGACGAAAATGTAAGTCTGAGATTTCAAGCGAAGAGTGTTAATTTTCTTTTCCAAAGAACTGGAAATACTTTCAGCCGCGAGGTTAAGTTTCCATGCATAACCCAATTATTTCTCCACATGCTAATTAAATGTTTGCTGCAAATTAATCCTCTAGTGGAACCCTTTCATGTGACTGGTTTTGTCAAATGTTTACGCGTGGGTCACTGACCTGGTGTAGACGCCGTTCTTCCTGCAGAATGAGTTTTTCACAGACAGCCGTCGGTTGTTGAGTTCCAGCGCGGGGAATCGACCTTCGTCCAGGCTCACCATGTCTCCGTGCGTTAGAGCGTTGCAGTTGGAGTTGTTACCTGGACACACGTACAGAGACACTGTGTGACCACAGGCCAGATGGATACAAGGGTTAGTGTGCGGGAGGACCAATGGAACTCATAGACGATGTGTCAGGGAGTGACTGAATAGACAAAATGATGATTTACAAGACAAAAAAATGGACATGGTAATTATGCTGGATGGATGAACCAAAACTATGATGAATTAGTGAATCACAGAGATTTTTTTTTCTCAGATGCCAGGTTGTTTTTATGATCATAATTATTGTAATTTCAAAACTTGAGACATGATTGCATTTTTCCTTTTCAAGATTGAAGAAAGTCAAAATTAACGCTCATGTGAAAGTAATTTTGGTGAATTAAAGCACCAGTAAATCATTTGTTTAGATTTTCGGTAAGAAAATAATAGCTGTAAAATTTGGAGCGATAGTATTCTCTGATTAGCTTAGCTTAGCATTAGGGCTCAAAAGATCTACTCTGAGGTGTTAATTAGTGAGTTCAAGCTTCATCTGTATGTGGATTTCTTTACCTTCAGAGAAAGCAAGGCTAGCTCTTCCTCCTGGTATCCAATCTTTGTATGCTAAGATAACAGGCTGCTGGCTGTAGACTAATATTAAAGAAACAGATATGAGAGGTGTCTATTAAATTCTTACTCAGATCTAATGTCTAAAGATCTGTTTCTTACAAAAACACACACTGACAAAGAAGAAAACTTGCACTTTAAGGTCAATAATACAACAGAAACAGAAATAACACATCAGGGGTCTGAATGGAAAAACACGCACAGCTAGTTGGAACAGGGGAGTTGTATTAATCCAGCCTGCTGCTCACAAGGGTGTTTTATTAATGAAAATTTATGACAACAATAATGAGTTTTTGGTCAGAGGGATGATGATGGCAGAATATGAGGCAAAAAGCTGTTCTCAATTTTATTAACACTATCTCTCCACTCAGCAACATATTCCATATCTACGGGAATCCGGCACAATATGAATACTGAATATGTAGATAGGTGAAGAGAGAGAGAGAGAGAGAGAGAGAGAGAGAGACTTTTATACTCAGAGAGCCGCGGTTACAATGGTAACTAGTTTCAAGTAGAGGCTGTTTAGGAAGTGGACGCTGGATTAAATGACAGTTGGATGTCCAGCAGCTCTTTGGTTAACACAAATTTTGAATACAACTTGAACAATATTCATGTAATTTAGTAACTACATCCCGATTATCATCAGCCTTGACCAGCCTAGACTCACAGCTTTCAGTGTGTGTTGTCACCTCGGTCTGATTTTCTGTCTTAACATGAGCAAAGTTTGAATTCTTAGGGTTCGAACGAGATCAGGCTGGCAGTGCGACACCCTCTCGTTGCATCACCAGCCTGATTTGCATCGCCCCATATCCCAGCATGCTATGAGAACCGATGCAGCCCCTTGCCACACAGTAGCCCTATTCAGAGGTGTTACAGAGGCGAGAAGGTTTCAGGGGAGCCAGCGAGGGAGCGCAGCGCCGTGTGTGTGTGTGTGTGTGTGTGTGTGTGTGCACATCTGATTGTGTGTGTATGTGGAGCTCCTGCTGTGCCGTGCTTCCGAAACGCCAAAACGCAATACGAATTCACAGAGACACCAATAAAACGCAGTCACAGAATCAAGATGACTGTCCAAAGACGTGATGATGGCTGAGCTTAGTTAAGGCACTTTTGCAAAAAAAATCTGAAAAGGAATAAGAGCAAATGTTCTCACATTTTAGTTTTTGCGATCAGTGGGCAGGCACACTGAAACTTTGTTTTTTCACATAAACCTTTGACTGGACAAAGTTTTACAAGTTAAACAGAATATTAAACAAAAATGGAGAGATGTTATGCAAGGACATTTTCAACTACATACACAACTGACACATGTATTCTAAGTTACAGAGAGGCATGCACGCACAGCATGCTTCAGAATGTGATAAATGAGTGAGCCCCCCCAGTGTAAACACTGTCTATAGATGCCACATGAATGGACATAACAAGTATTTTGCAAGTGCCTCACGTAATCAATCAAACAGTTCACACTTTAAACTGAAAGTGTCACGCTTGCCATGCTGCTCTATGGTAGATTAATGTTAGCCTGGGTTGCAGCTTGCCATGTTACAGGTTAAACCCACTTTCAGTCATCCAAAGACTTATGGGAGACTGCAGAGAGGCCAGGACCTCCGCGGTTGCTCCAGGACAACTTGAGGTCAATTGATGGTTACGCAAACACACAGAAAAAGAAGAAGAAAAAAAAAAAAACGCTGGGTAGATCCAGCAGCCCGGAGACAGATTCCTAGAGGGGGATATGGAGGCATTTGAGAGCCTCTTTGTGTGGGAGTGAGAAGGAACCTCTTGTTTTCCCTCTGTCAGTCAGAGAGATGGGCAGTGACCCACAGGGACCCCCCTCCCCTCCTGCCTGGCAGCTAAACAGGCATGGCAGAAGTGCTGAGCAGAGGGAAATACCCGCTGATGTCAGAGCTGCACTGAATGGACAAGTATACCCCCCCCCCCTCCCGTCTCTGTCTCTGCTTCCCTGATTTTTTTTGTTCTCCTGCTGCTCGCTCAAATATCTGATTCTTTCAAATGTGCCATGAAAAAGTTACCCCCGAGTTCAACCCGCTCTCAATTTGAAATAATTTAATTCCCACACAAAGTGCCACTCTTTATAAGAAAAAAGGCAAGTCATCAGATTCCTTGCCGTCTGGGCCACTGAGGATGGCAGCGAGGCCTCTCTAATGGTTAAACGCTCTGTTTCACTGTGCCATTGTGTGCACTCACCTGATTCGGCCTTCTTGGCATACTTCTTGCTCTGTCCTCTGATAATGAGGATGAAAACCAGCAGCAGGATGAAGATGAGCCCCACCAGAGCAACCACAACCAGGAACCACCACTCCTCGTAGAAAGGGGCCACATTCTGGGCTGAAAAACACACAAAGAATATTGGAATTAATGGTTTCTAAGAACAACTACGAAGGATTGTGTAGCGTCTGAATAATCTACCCTAACTATAATTCAAGTTTCGAGCAGCAGATACTTGAAAACTCACCTGATATAGAAGGAGAAGGTAGACTTGGTGCGCCATAGCCGTAGTCATTCACTCCAATTACTCTGAAGTCGTAACTGAGCCCTTTCTTCAGGATGTCCATGGGGAATGTGTGCGATGTCACTTCCTTGGGGATGTCCTTGATTAAGATATCCCACAATCCCTCATCTGTAACCAGGTGAAAGTTGCAACTTTGGGTCAGAAGAGACGGCGAAAAAAAACTTGTAAAACAAATCCAACAAAGTCAGTAAGTCTTTGTTAACAGGGCTGTTTGTTTGTTTGATTCAAGGCTACGCTCTGGCTGCCACCTCCCAGGGTAATTCATAATTCCTACAAATATTACCCAATCCATCAATTTCACAGCTCCCGTTGAATTTACAGCGACCGAATCTACATCATAAATAGCGGCGGCGGCCATATTTCAAAGGCAGCAATGTGAGGTGTCATGCTGCTTGCTTTGGAGATCCTGCCAGACGCCATTTATTACACATCGCTGCTTGTAAACATCAGTGTAACTTTGACTCTTTTAATGAGATACGCAAACATAAACAAGCGTTGGAGTTCATCCGTCATGTCGCTGAAGTTGGGCGCAAAAAGTTGGAAGAGCTTATGTAATTTGATTTGAAGACAAAAACAAGTCATTAAGTCATATGATACTTCAGAGAGTTATGTCCCCTGGCATATGGAAAACAGAAGATGAGAGGGAAACGGGGGCTGCGGGAGGGTTGGTTTTACCATCTGGACTGAGCACCCCTTCTTAAATTGAACCTGCAAAATGGTGAAACACATCCCTCTCTGCAAATCCCCTTCCATCAATCAGCATTTTAACCCTGCCACGACCTGTCAATCACACCTGAAACAGAACACCGATTGTCTCAACTGCAGCTCCTTCGATCAATAAGCCATTAAAATACCAGGGACACAGACCCCAGGGCGGCAGATGTTGACACTTTACACCACTTTCCTTATTTTAAACTATCAAGGGGGCTTACATAATGCAAGGTTAACAAAATCATGACTAGAGTGGTGAGTTTCTGGAACGTGTCTTCGTGAAGCTCGGAAACCAACCTGAAGGTCTGGCCTCGATCACGTAGCGTGTGATGGGAGCACGTCCCGGGTCCCCGCTGGTCCAGTGGATGGTCAGGGCCTGACCATACCGGGTGATGAAGGGTTCTCCAGGGGGTCCTGGGGCTCCTGAGGAAGAAAAAGTTAAGTATCAAGGTGAAGCATTTAAAACTAGATATAGAGCATATTGCCTGGAGTGCCCATGATATATTACACCATAGCACATGGTAGCACCCCTGATTTTAACATTCTTTCCGGAGACTCAAATCGAAGAAAATAAAGATCGAGGCTTGTATTGTAAATATTTAAATGTTTCATCAACAGCCTGAACTGCGTGTATGAATCATTATATTGAAATTTTACAGGTCTACAAAAAGTTTCTGCTGTAAATCTAAAACTCTAAGGGCCTGTAATTCACAAATAGATTGCAAGGCTTTTGCACCCGCTAAACCTGTGTATTCACAAAGCACATGCAAAGGGTTAAACGCTCCTCTAAGTGCACTGCAGCGCAAACTGCGTTTCTTTGCCGCTCCAGTGCAGTTTGCGCAAATTTAAATGAGCCCTCTGCAGTCAACTGGGGGGAAAAAACAACCAAAGTTAGAGTAAAAAAACAACTGCCTGCTGCGAGTTGGTGGTTATTGCGCCACACAATTTATAAGGTAATCATACCAGGATTTCTGCCTCTAGATGACCTAAAAGAAATTGCTGTAAATAAAGCATTGTATTGTATATAACTCTGGCATTATTATTAATATAATCAGGGGTTAAGCTGCCCAACACGACAGACACTAGGACACTTCGTCCCAATGTGTGGAGACAGTCTTGGGCCATTACACACGACAATGAAGTTGGTGTTTTTTTTTCCTTTTTCAGTATGAGTTGCCCTTGCTTTCTCACTCCATGGGAAGCTTTTGTTTTAAACAGTGAACTCATATCACATTCATAGAGCCTGGCCTCACAATGAACCTGATAAAATGCCACCTTCTTTTCCCCAACTCGTTATCTTTATGTGGATGGAATTGAGCTCCGTCAGCATGAGCGTGCAGCTTCTGTGCAGAGTCGAGCTGCTTCTCCTCATGCTCAGTAACAGCAATAAATGCAAACTGCACGAGCTGGACAACTTTACGAGCGTGTTTGCTCTGGAATATCATTAGTGTTATACGCTTTGTGAATTAGACATTAAAGGTGGGGAAGATAGCGGGAGCAAGTGACACGCAATTTTTTGGTGCTATCAGAGGCCGCAATCCATTCTAAGTGAATTCTCCACTGAGTGTCTCTTTCTCTATTCACTTATAGAAGCTGTGGTGTTTTGTCAGGAAAAGCAATAAGGGCAATGTCAGTTCAATTTTTACGCTCAAAATCATATCAGCTCTGGGGTGCAGATGGCATAGTGGTTAGGTTGTGGCCCATATACGGAGGCTGTTGTCCTACAAGTGGACGGCCAGGTTTCGTGTCTGACCTGTGACTCCTTTCCCGGATGTCATTCCCCACTCTCTCTCCTTGAATATCCTATTCTATCCACTGTCTTATCCAAATAAAAGGCTAAAGGCCCCAAAGTAAAACAAAAAAAAACATCTGGAGACAAACTATGGTTTTCCAAGGAGCAGCTCAAGCAGCTTTCTTTTAATTTTGGACATAAGAGTTGTGTGTTTGGATTTATTAGGGATACTCTTTCCGCCTGGGGTCTACAGAGTTATGAGTCACTACCTTCTCCGGGGCCGGTGGTGATGTTGGCCTCCACCTCGGGCCCGTAGATGAAGGTCTTGGCCCGGATGCGGAAGTTGTAGGTGGCGCCGTCGGCCAGGTCTCTGAGCTTCAACCAGAAGGGGCCGCTCCCCTTCACGTCCACCGTCACTGTCTTACTGACGCCTGGGGGGAAGGGGGAGTGGAGACAGTCGGCACAGGCCACTGAGGACTCTAGACAAACAGACCACATTTAGAGCAGGTCTTACACAGGCCAGGCAATGTGGGAGCACACTCGACGCGGGCAAACAAACACAAAAAAAACATATGCAGTGATGGAATTAGTAGTGGGAAATAAGTTTAAATTTCAGCATTGCAGTCAAGAATCATTTGTAATGATTGCAGAAAATGTGGAAAAAGGTTGCAATGGTACACAAGCTGTTACTGTCAAGGTGATGATTAGCTGATAGGCCAAGAAAATGCACACCGCAAGATTTTTTTACCAGATGAAGTAATACTCATATTAGGAAAATTTACATTTTTACACAAGTTTAAAATACTACTAGATCTTGTTGTGTGCATCACGTTGTAATAGAAGCCAGCAGGCATTTTTAGCAGAGAAAAGAAAGGAAAGAGAGCTTACCATCTACGGGTGTGGAGGGTTCATACACCAGACGATAGCCCTCAATGATGCCATTAGGGAAGGTGGGCTCGCCCCAGGACACGTTGACCGAAGTGGTGGTCAGCTCACTGAAGTGGATGAAGCTGGGAGCACTGGGAGCTGGAACACAGATTCAAAAAATGTATCTAAATGTGTCAGGGGATATTTTCTCCCTGGTGGCAATGTTTCATATGGTGGTTAAAATGTGTGCATTTGGAAAAGACTTATCAAAGAGCGTATAAGTTTAGCTAGTAATTTAGCTTTCAGAGGATTTCAGAAAACCATTAATCGATACATAACAAAGCTACAAAGGACACATTTGGATTGGTTAGCCTAAAAAGGACAAAAAACAACCCCAGCTGTACGAAATTAAAACTCTAACTTTTTGTTAGTTAGCATAGTTTAATCTTACCATGTTAGATTTCTATCACCATAAATAACTGTCTTTTGAGTAGATAACTTGTTAGTTTCAACCCCTACAGCAAAATAATATATTACCAGTATAAATGTAGACACATGTGCCCCCTAAACCCAGCAAATAGCTGCCGTTTTGTTCCTTTTTTTTATGGGAACTATTGAAATGTTTTAGCAAAGTCTACATCTGCAGCTCTTATAACTTTTGTTATTGCAGATCCTGTAAAGCAGATTGGAAAAGTTGTTCAGCAGCAGTTGGGACTCTTTCAGAAGACAAAGCCTCTTTTGAGAAATATGGGATAACTATCTCTGCAGCGCTACTCCCCCACCCCCACCCACCCCTTTCTGCCTGTCGTCTGCTTTTACTGCTCATGTCAGTGACCCATGAGGGAATCTGTGAACGTCTTCTTAAACTTTCCTATAAATGGGCCAAGTTAGAATATTAAAAAAAGCAGCAGAAACAGTTTTAAAACGGCTTCTTTTACACTGGGGTTTTATAGAACTATTCCATTCTTTCTTTCATTTGTTTTTCTCTGGAGAGTAAGAAAGAAGGGAACAAGGAGAAAAAGACAATACACAAGAAAAAAGGGGGCAAATAAATAGAAAGAAAGAAAGAAGTAGGAGCAGCTGGATCCGGATGTGTTCTAGACGTAGCATGCCTGTAGACAGAAAACATGCTTTGAATTTCAATACCCTCCATTTTTTCAGACAAAACAGGAGACTCAGCGAATGAGTTTGGAGTGGGTTTGCTGATTAGGAACTTATGCTCAGTGTGTGGTTCCGCTAACATCGTTTGGCATGCTGACAGCAACGATTAGCATCATCTTCACAACAAATTCCCTCCTCCTGGTTGACTCCTCCACTTTGAGAAAAACAGCAAGAGCACTTCCAAACTAACATCAGCAGCATATAAAGATGACAAATGAATAACCGTGTACACAAGCTATAATTTATCTGCTTTAGTGTTGTCATCCTTTTGCCTCATTTATCTTCAGCTTGTCTTCTTGTTCTCCGCACCTCACTGTCATGTGTTTCTTACTTACAAAGAGAAATATTTGTTTTGATTGCAGAAGTGCTGACTGTTGGCATAATTCACCATTGACACACGGCAGCCATTTTGTTTAAGGCTTGGGGTGGGGAAGCTTGAACGCTATTGTGTTTAAGTTTTACAGAATGTGCGTACGTAGGGGATCCGACAAATCTTCTGCCACATCTCAATTGATGATCAACTGAGAATACAATAATAAAATACAGTGGGACGATGAAGTTTGAACAAGATATTGGTAAAGCTATTAGCTAAAGCAGATGAGTCATAGTGGCTATTTAAGCTTACTGGCTAATGTGTCCATAACATTAGGTAGCGATTCATGCGGTTCCATCTTGTGCTACTTGTAATGTTAACATGAAAACGGTGGAACGCTAATGTTAGCAGACATAAAACTTGAATAACAGAATAAAACAAATCACCAACTTTTTAAAACATCACTACAAAAAAACGGGCCATATATGAAGGTCAGACAACATATTGGATAACATATCAGCTAAGTCACAGATATTAGCTGACCTTACTGTTAGCCAAGTTTACTGTTAGTTAATATCTGTGACTTAGCTGTAGCTGCATGGAAAAGCCATTAAAGCAGCTGAGCAACGAGCATACTGTTTGCTAACCTTACCGCTATCTAGCTAATATTTTTAACAACATTATGGTTAGGACTTGTGCAGTTTCTTTCTTATCATTTATGATTTTTACTCCATAATCAGAATGAGGAAATTAGTGGACTGCTAATGTTAACGAATTTCGACGTCTTCCTGATTTATCAGCAATAAAATTAGACACTATGTCGTGAGAATCTGTAGGAATATAAGGCCAATTTAACAGTTAAAACAACATTTATGATAACTACCGTTGATGTTAGAAATAAGATAATGCTTAAGTTAGTATTCAAAAATGTCCTTTAATGCATTACTGTTTTGATGGTGCCACATGATCGGCAAAGCTTGAATTCCTAGCTAACAGTTGAGTTACCTTAACAGACATAACAGTTCACCAATGCTATTGTTTTTTAGGAACTGGTTAAATGGTAACATTACTTTCTTGTAACTAAACAGCTAAGCCTTAATTGTTTTCTGATATGTTATTCAACCTTGAGATATAGCCCTCATGATCCCTGTCTTCACCATGCTATTTTTTCTCAGTCATTAGGGAACATTTGAATGATTTGATGAGGATATCCCATGTTTAGACAATTTGTAGACCTGAAACACAGCAATGTACAACATCAAACAGTTTTAAAGCCTCCCCCAGTTGGGGGAAAGTGGGCATTAAGTCAGAAGAAAATGGCTACCTTTGAATATGGTACATTGGTTATTCTTGATGGCATTTTGTGGTTAAATGTACATACCGGCTTGCTGAGTGCATCCTCTGGTCGGTGGGCTGCGGGGCCCATCCCCAGCTGCATTAAAGGGGGCAACACTGATCATATAGGTGGTGTAACCGGTCAGGTTCTTCAGCTTCACCCCTCCCTCAGGCATGAACAGAGTGCGCAGGCGCTCTGTCTCATTCTTACGCTTGAACTCCCAGAAGTAAACCTACGAGGAATACATAAATATGAATGTGAGTCTACTGCTGTCTCATGAGAACGCAGCTACTTTTGCATCGATAAAAAACTCATCCCATTTCAGAATCCCTTAAGGGAAAGCAATTTCATTTGATTTCCTGTAAATGTTTTCTTGAGGAAAAAAAAATATATTTTATTGAAAGCCCCTCTGGAAAACAGTGTTAGCTTAAAAGTCTCAAAATGTTCATTCAAATCTTATCAACATTAATAATGTGTATAGTATCCTTTTGTAGCACAACAACATTTAAATGTTTATGTATTGATTGAAACACAAGACATTACTGTTGCTGCTGCAGGTTAATAAGTCATACCTTGTAGCCCTGGATGTCTCCGTTCTGTGCGTCTACAGGGGGAGGGTCCCACGTCACATCTAGCTGGGTGGCTGTCGCTGACTGAATGGCAACTTTCTGGGGTGGGGCTGTAGGTACTGTGGAAAGCCATCAAAGAAATAACTACATTAAAATACAAGTACAATTTGCTCAATCTGTTTAGTCATTGGAATAATATACTACTTCAAGTAGAAAATACAAACTGTTCAAGCTATATACCTTTATTTAAACAACATCAAATACACCTGAAATCTAGCATGCTTACTGCTGCATGTAAAATACTCATCAATAGATTTTATTCTTTTCTTTAATGGTTTAAAGATATTGATACTCCAATGTATAATATCAAAAAGCCTTGTGCAGTCGCGACGGTGCTATATAAATAAAATGTACTTACTTACTTACTGTGTCGATTAAACGGACAGGAAGTATGCATACCTGCTTCTCCGACAAACACCTCCTGCGGCGGGCTGGTTGGTCCCTCGCCCACAGCGTTGTACACACTCATGCGTATTTCGTAGCGCTTGTGTTTACTCAGTTCTGCAACAGACGGAAACAAACATACATAAGTTTAAACATCATTTAAACACCAGATTGTGATTTTTTTAAATAACAAAATTCCCACTGATTTACAACGTTAAAGATCCAATATTAAACACATTTTGTAAAGTTTTAAGGGCGATAATAGGTAAGCAGTCCCACAATGGTGTCTCACCCACCCAAACAAATACTCCTCCTAGGAAATGAACACTTATAATCTGCCATATGCTGCAATTATAGTAGAAATATGTGACCATCTGCTTTAGCAGCGCTTCTCCAAATAAGCTGATATGTGCAAACTGAGGAGCGTGTTGGACTGTGCGAGCTTGTGTACTCAGAGTCCAAGAATTTCTGTACACACAGTGCCTCAGCGGAGCTCAGTAGAAGTGTTTGTACCATTATGATGTGAATGTAAGCAGCCAAATGTTGTGTTCATTTGGTCGACACTCTGGTTTTCCCTGTATCACTGCTCAGAGCAGCAAGGCACTTGAGACATATGGTGAAATCCAACAGATCGGAAGCCTTTTTTTTGTAAAGACGGGGAGTGAATTATTGGGTATGCATGAATGTGTTGTGCAAAAAAAGACACTGAAGAACTTACTGTCCAACTCGTACTGATTCAGAGTTGAGTCACTGAGATTGCGGATGCTGTAAGGGGCTACGATGGGGAGTTGGAAAGTAGAGAAGATAAAAAGAAGAGAGCTGGAATTAGACAAACTATAGTTATGTGTCAAAGAGCTTATACTTTGTAGTTGAGGGGAGCATCACTATTGTCGTAAAAACCAACACAATCACAGTAATCAAATCCGAGCCCCAGAATGACTCAACAAGAGTTAAATTACAGGCCTAGTTAAACCAAGCCGCAAGAAACAGAGCCTCTCCTGAGTAAACCTAATAATAGCTTGTAGCTGATAGCTGGTGATCACAAGATTAAATGTTTTCCTGAGAAATGTCAGTGGGGAGAGAAAAGGCCTGTATGAGAGTTTTCCTCTGATGGAAATAATGGTTCCGCTAACTCGTATATAACCCTGAGAGTCTGATAATTGCCTGAAAATAAAACTGAAGTACAGCTAGCAGACAAAATGGTTTATCTATGATTTTTAACAAGCAATTTGTGTCCTCCATTAATTTTTTTAGATTCATGAAGCATTTTCATTTGAATTACAAACTGAACTTTTAAGCTACCGTACATATTGTGCTTTTCTTTGGCTACAACGGTTTTGAGTGCAGCGAAGAAGATTTATACGCTGCTAGCAGGAAGACAAGCTAGCAAGTTAGTTAAACTAGCAAAGGGTATAAATCCCTATTTTAGGCTACATTTATTTCTGAATTTTAAAGTTAGGATAATTATAACTATTAAAAAACACAAAATAAAATGTGAAAATGTAAAGTTTGAAGAGTATTGTGCAGAAAATCTCGGTATTTGCGACACCCTTCAGTGGCTGCTAGCTGAGCTGCCGCAAACATTAGCTTACATCGTTTCTAGGTGCTCAGCTTGTTTATAGGTCAGGGATAATTTCAGCGAATTGTACCCTGCTACACAACAATAATAGCTAACATATTAATCACAAAAAGTGTGAGTGTTATAGCCTACTGCTGTGTAAGATTGATTTAAAAAGTTGTCTAATTTAAAAATCACATTATTAAGGAAACACCATAGGGAAAAATTTGGTATCAGGTTAGGTTTCAGAATCAGGATTAAGAAGGAAGAAATACATGAAACAACAGTTAGAAAGTGAAATTCTACACTGCAAAAATAATTTTGGAAAGAATAAAGGCTCAAGATGGTAGAATAATACACTTTGCCATGTTAGCTGCTGTGATTCCTCACCAGTCAGCTCAGCCCAGGCGGATGCACTGTTGTGGATGGCATGAGCGGAATAACTGCGGAGACGGTCGTACAGCAGCTCACGATACCGAATCCTGAAACCCAGTAAGATCCCATTGATCTTCTCCTCAGAGGGGGGCTGAAAGGGGTGGAGAAAAAAAAAGTTTGGAAGTTTAAGTCTGATCCAGCAGATGTCTGCAGAACTGAGTCCCAGAAAAAAAGCTTTAGATACTTCTTGTGACCTAGTTTCTGTTCTAATGAGGTTGAAAAATTGCTAAATTTCACCGTAATCTGCGTTTTAGTTGTATGTTTCTCCACTGTGATGATTCCACTTAATCGCTCTGTGTTTTGTTTCCTAACTTAACATCGTTGAAGAGACTTCCAGTAAAGACACTCCTCTAAGACTGAGCTCATCCATAGGTGAGTCACATGAAGAAATCCCCCCATGGTTCAAGATGACAGAGCAGGGCCAGAGGCGAGAAAACAAGTATACTTATAAACCCTACAAGTGTTCTCCATAAAAGTAAAATTGTGGCTTGGAGCCTCCTGTTTTTCTCCTCTTTATGACCTGTTAATTCAGGTGTGAGTGTGGGAGTAGACATGGAGGGTGTGTGTGAAAGTGAGTAGCATCCAATATGTAAGTACAGGCCTGCCCTGTGTACTGCCACGGTCTCTCATTAGAGCCAACTTTCTCCGACTTTCATAAATTTTGCAAACAATGAGAGAGGGGGAAAAAAAAACAGTAGAGAGAGACACTGCGTCCTCTTACCTTCCAGCGGAGGAGCACTGATGTCGTTGTGTGCGGCGTGACGGAGAGAATGGTGGGTGCTTCGTCAGGCGCTGAGGCGATAAAAAGTGAGATAAATGAGCTTAATTGACCTGAAAATGTGCGCAATTCAAGAGGCTTAATCTATCCATGGGCAGTGGCATTCATGGAGCATAAACACACAATAGCTAAAACAGAGAGGCCATTGAGGGATGAGTCAAAAATAGCATTTGGAAAGATATTTAGACAGAACATTTATTAAGTTTGTTAAAGCGCCACAGGGCCGAGCTTTCCACGGCTTTTATGCTGCCCTCTTGTCTCATGGTAACTGCAGATGGTGCACACTGCCCACATGACATAACCTACAGCCTTTGCCAGGAGCGTCTGCATCATAACAAAAGGCTAATTCATGCAGACATTCAACTCTTTTCATGGGGAAACAAAGGAGCATAGTATTGATATTGGACCTAAAATAACTATACACATAATTACATATTTAACGCACATTTTCATGGAGTCAGCGATACAGCTTGATCTTGTCTTAACAACAACGTGACACTGCCTGGTCACAAATTTCCCACAAGTACAGAGAGTCCATTATCCTCTGATTTCAAATGTTTGTAATCTGATATAAAGTCACACTGCTGTGTTCCAAGTTGGAATCTGTGAATCGACAACAATTGACAGTTTCAAAATTGATGAGTAACCAAAAAGACGGTAACACTTTAAATTAAGGTTACAATATTCAACACTAACTAGTTGTTTATTAGCATGCTAATTAGTAGCATACTAGCTCCTTATTAGTCATTATTAAGCATGTATTAGTACCTTACTCCAGATGACCACAGTCTATAGCTAATAGGCCATTAAGGAACAACTTAGGGAAGTTGTTGAACATGAATTATGATCTTAATATGCTTTTGCTTTAAGTAAAACATGTTAACATTGTTATCATCAAGGTAGTAATAGCGCTAAATAATGACTAATACTGAGCCTAAACAAGCTACTTAATGGTGAATGCTGTTACCTTAATTACAGTATGACCGAAAAGACAAATATAGTAAAACTCTGGAGGGACATGGATTTCAAAGTATTACAACATGTTTAATCACCTTTTAGGTCCTTTTACAAAAAGATCTATCAACAAAAACTTCCTTGCATATCAACAACGACTAATGTAGCCGTTAGCTAGCATTACCCTTTGCTAAAAATGTACACCTTTTCACAGCCAAAATGACGGTTAGTGAGGAATTTAGTGTGACACAAATGGTTATGCTAGCTAGTATTTGTTGGATGCATTAGCTAATATTGCATTGTTACATGCATTGTTTTATTTATTAAAATTGCCTTGATAAACCCTTGATCTTGACTAGTCGATGCTTTTTGCGTTGCGAATCTATTGGAAAGCAGAATGTTTAGTTAGATACCTAAGTTTATGAAAATTATAACCTACAACACGGTGCAATATGATGTTATCCTTTCGAGAACAGGCCTCCGAGAGCGACATCAGAGGCCTTGGGAAAATGGTCCAACAAGAAGTCGCCCTGCACATCATGTAGCACAGAGCAACATTTCGTTTATACACTTAGAGATAGTGAAAAAAAAAAAATGTAGGCTTTCAAAGCACGAGTTAGTGTGTTAATGAAGTTTCCAACAAAGCCATGTTAGCCGTTTCCCTCTCTTTCAAGTCTTTCATGCTAATAAGCTAATTGACTCCGAGCTGTAGCCTCATGTTTACCAAACAGAGATGAGAGTGGTTTCAATCCTCAAATCTAACTCATCAAATGAGCAAATATGAATATTTTTCAAAACTGTTCCTTTAAGATCCGGCTAATTTACTCATCAAATATTTACACTGTGTGTGCTGAATCTTCTCATTATGTTGCTCTTACCATCCTGCAGAGTTGTGATCGCTTCACTTTCCTCGCTGTACTCGCTGTCCCCGATGTCATTGGTGGCTTTTACTCTGAACTGGTAGGATGTGAAAGGCTTCAGCCTAAGGGGATGGAAGCAGAGAAAAAGCACATCAAGCCTGATGATAAACTACCACAGTGGATCTTAAACCTTTTAAGTCCCTGACATCAAAAGAGAAATATAGTCTCACTGTGGGAGCTACGAGTTTGTGAATCACACTACAAAGCACAAATTTCAACTAAGCAGAGACCTAAGTGCTGACTGCTGCATCGGCTTCATTTCTTTCAATTTATACCATTTGTTTATGTTCTATCCAGATTGTAACACCCAGGAAGTATCATTATGCGTGCGAATATTGTCCATTTGCCATTTCTGCCAAAGATGGGAAGATTTAAGCGAATACAGCAGTGGGACTGAAAGAAGATGAATGGTTTCATTTAGTGTTATCCTCGAAATCTAAAGAGAACAAATAGAAAAACAGAAGTTACAGCAAAGGTGAAAAGCTAGAAAGTACAATCTACCTGGACACAATGTACGAGGCGGCCTCGTGGTTGACGGAGGCAGAGTGGACCGTCCAGTTGCTCTCAGGGAGCTCTCTAAGCTGGACCGTGTAGTAACGCACGGGGGAGAGGCCGTCGCTGCCGGGCTCCCATGACAACAGAACGTGGCGGGCCTGAACGTCTTTTTGAGGGACCACTGGACGGCTGGTGGGTTGGGGACGAGCTGGAAGGAAGGACACAGGCATGGAAATGTGGAATCGCTGGAAAACTAAATATGTAATAAAGGAGCTCTTGGAAAATGATTTAGGAAATAAATGTTTGGCAATTTTGCAAAGGCAATGATACACAACAAAAAGGATTACGATTTTGATGAATGAATGCAACTTCCAAAATGGAAGTTGCAGACTAAACAATACGAAAAAGATGCCTCGAGGGAGGCAGATGGACTGATTCACTCTTACGACTGCATCAGAGCACTTCCGATAAACACCCACAGGGCACGAAACACTCCTTCAGAAAACACATCTGCTAACTGGACTGTTAACTGGAATCGAGTGCGCGGAAGGCTCAGCAGAACAAGTTGAGTCGTTGCTGAGATCACACTCCTGCGCTTGCTATCAGAAGTGTGCTGTGAGTGTTCCAGATTGCTCGATTACAACAAATGATGTTGCTGTTTCTTATAGGTTAACACCTTGAAAACAACATCTGTGTTTTTTGTGGACTTAGTTTAACAATTAAACCAGTGATGTTATATTCTAAACCAGTGAAATCAGTTCTGTAATAACCTGGTCCAGTGCTGTAATCACTAAATCAATGCTGGTATACTTTATATAAACTCTGTTACAGTGCTGTTATTTTCTATTATATTCTATATCTGCACATACATAATGCCTTATTTCCAATCAAATTAATTGGAGTACTGTTATTTAATGTTGTTGTATCCATACTCTCAATATCTGGATAATAATAAAACACATTCTGTATACACTGGTTACCTCTTTTCTCCGTGGTGACCACCAGCGCCTCAGCGGCTTCGCCCCAGCCCTTCCTGGTCTGCGCTGTGATGCGGAACACATAGATGGACTCTGGCTTCAGGCTGGTCACCGTGTACTGGCGAGCGCTCGGGTTCAGCACGTCCACTGTGGCCGCGTTGCTATTTGTGGAGTTGAGGTGGTATGTGATCTGGTAGGCTTCAGAGGAGAGGGGACACATTGATCATCTTATTGGAGGCGTAATAATGAGCTCAATTTCACAATTTTTAATCTAGGCTGAAAAAAAAATGTGTTGTTTGTGTTGCTTTACTAACAATACCAGGAAAAGCGAACTGTGCGGCTAACAGCTTTTATCTCTGCTGAAATGATCCCACTAGCATCTGCTCCTCTCTGCTACTGCGTGGGTCTGACATGCTGTACAGTTTAAAACAAATGATCCGACAGATGTATAATGAATCAAACGCTCACAAGGAAATCCCCAATTAGTGACAAGAGACTCCAACTCTCTGATCCAGTGACGGAAAATAACAAGATGTGTTCCATGAAGAAGGAAAACAATATTCTAAAGAGTATGTCGGGAGTCTCCAGGAAGTAGGCTACACCTTTTGGGCCTTACACTGTCCAAGGAATAAAGACATTTAAAAAAAACCTCTTATTGTCTTTTACAAACCAAGTATGATGCCATTGGGCTGTGATGGAGACTGCCAGATAAGCCGGACTGAGGTGGTTCGCACTTCAGGGAACAGGATGCCCACTGGAGGTCCTGGAACTGTAGGAAAGAGAAACAAACTTTAAACACATAACTCAGGAGTTACCTAAAGCTGCTATGTGGCATCTTTAACTGGCTAATAATGATGCCTCTTTATGACCTACAAAAAGCAAACTAAACCTTGAATTGATGTTGTAGATTTTAATTTTTCACTCAATACTACGGTGGCTGGGAAGAACAAAAGCAAATTTTACAATTTACACTCTTACCTGTCCCCAAACAAATTTACAAATGACAGAATTTTGACGGAAAGGGAATGTACCAAATGCCAGAAGTGACCTGGAAGTGATTGAGTAAGAGGTTATTTTGTTTGTTTTGGTGGTAAAAGTGTTTCACACTTTGCAATTTTGCTTTGCACTTCCCAGCCACTGTAAAATAAAGTCATGACAGTATGTTGTGATGCTGGATGTGTGCCATCCATGGAGGTCACGGTGGACTTAACTGGCTTATGTTACATTCATGTTAGTCCTGTTACTAAGCTTGGACATGCTCTTAGCTTATTAACCTTACTAAAAAGATTGTATAACAACACTTGGGATATTAGTGACCGTAGCTGTGTATACACCTGTATCATCCTGGTTTTCACATGTTCACATAACATTAATTTATTTACATTTAATCTGACATAGCCCCAAATGGTTACGTTACATCATCGCTACCCATTCTGAAAAAAATATGTCGAGGTTTCACTTATCATTCAGTTGTCTTCAAAACAAATGTTCCTGCTAGCTAAATCAAGATATTTTCGACACCAGCTATACAACTTCTGTCCACAGGGGTCGCCAAAATCCACACAAAAGACGAGTTCCTTATAACGGCTTGAAAACTCAAATTGGTAAACAAAAATGTAAGGTTACGAAGTGTAACCATGGTTCTCTGAGTGAAGAGACTATCTCTCCGGCTCCCCATACATGTGGAATATGTAACAGAGGGGAGAGATAGTCTCGATACGATGCAGAACGTAAGGTTACGACGTGTAACCATGGTTCTCTGAGTGAAGGATCAGTATCTGTTATTTCACTTCAACGGAAAAAAAAAAGAAAAGAAGAAAAGTGCAGGTTTTTAAATCTGTGGAGAGCTTATTCCACTCCTTAATGTTGCTTTATCCTCTGCCCCTACCGTCATCCAGCGTCCTTTCCAAGATGGGTGGAGAACTGGACCGCCCGTCTCCGACGCGTGTGAAAGCCAGCACCTGGATCTCATACAGCACATATTTCCCCAGACCGGTGAGCTGGACGCTGTGGGTGGCGTTCCCCTCCACTGTCCAGAAGTGGACCGAACTGTCCGAGTCCTTCTCTTTGTACACCACCTAATGGATAGAAGTGAGGGGGGATATTAAGATTGATATAACATGAAGACTTGGACTGCCGCATGAATGAATCGGTATAACATTAAAGGCAGAAAAATCCGACCTTGTAGCCCAGAATGAGACCATTCCTGTCCGCCTCAGGGACCTCAAACCAGCGCACCAGGATGCTGCTGGACGTGATGGCGAAGGTAGACACATTTGTGGGACCGCAGGAGGGGACTGAGGAAACAAAGGGAGCAGAGAGGCGAAAACATCACTCTTCAATAGTCCATTGTTCGCCTTTAATTCAGAACAATCCATTAGAACTAGAGAGAGATGCAGTTTGGAGGATCAGCTGTGGTCATACAGTATCATGCGTTTTTGCACGTAGCTTCTGATATTCTAGTGGTGCCCTACAGGCCTGCTGAAACAAAAAAAAAAAAGACTAAATGAAGAATAGGCCCTTTTTTCCCCCCCACCTCACTGGAACTCATCCCTGGACATAACGCACTGATTCCTAAGAATCTGCTGCAGTGAGTGGAAAAAAATAGGAGCACAGGAATTCCTTATTCGAGTACATGTGTTCTCAATTTCCTCGGACTGCTTTCCTCACTCCTTCCACTCCTCACTCGCCGGCGTGGAATGAGAAATGTGGCGGCAGGGACATGAAGATTATTCTTTTAAATAGAGTTAAGGGGCAACGCATTCACATAAATGCAAAAAAAAAAAATGGCATATGGTAAAGCTGCACGTTTATGATTGATCGTTTTATTCGACTTTAACACAGATATTCCACACAGGAAAAAAGTGCTGAGAAAATCAATGCAAATACTGTTAGGATGCAGGATTGTGGGGGTCGATGTGAGCTTGTTTTAGGTGCACAATAAACGAATATTTCGCCCCTTTCCGTCATGACGGCCCCTCGACTTTGGATCGACCTCCCCGAGGATATAAAGCGCTCAGAGTCAGTCACTCGTTGTAAATCTCTTCTTAAAACCCATTTTTATAGACATACTTTTAAGTAATGTCATCTTCTTATCCCTCAATGTGTTCAATATTTTCAATTTTTCACTTGTTGTTTTGTCTTTTAACTACTGTGTTTCACTTTTACCACTCACCAGACTCCCTCGTCCTGCCTTTGACCGGCGTGCTCCAGGGTCCCATCCCGATGCCGTTCACAGCCTGAACCCTGACCTCGTACTCGGTCCACTCCTCCAGGTCCTCGATGGTGAACTCTCTCTCCAGGCGGTCGGGGATGACGTGGGTCAGCCCCCGGCCCTGAGAGCCCGCGCGGAAGTACTGGATCCTGTAGCCCACCTGCTCTGCGATCCCGTTGTATTCCCACTCAGGCAGAGGCTTGACCGCAAACGAGGGGGGAATGGATAGTCTCAGACTGAGAGATATAAATACAGTAAGTGATCATTCAGAGACACCAGGAGCTGGTTTTTCTACTCACCATCCATCGTAACCAGAGGCTGGTCTCGCTGGCGGTGCGCAGGGTGACATTGGCGGGGGCCATGTCAGGAGGAGCTGGCAGGGTCTGGATCTTCCTGGAGGGCTGGCTGGGAAGACTGGTGCCCACAATGTTCACCTGACGCATCCGGAACCTGTTGTTTGGAGTTCAGCATTATAATTGAACTTCTGCAGATGGATTTTGGTCTATAAATAGAGTCACTGTAGTACTTTGAGTAGGCCTGATTTTACATGCGAAGTGATACGATGCGACATGATCAAATATGATGGGATATGCTTTATTGTCCTATTAGTGACATCTGATACTCATATAGCTGCCTCCATGGTAGCATCAATAAACAAGGACAGAAACTAAAAAGAACCATGTGAATTTTGATCCACAGACTAGAAGCTGCTTTTCCGTCAATAACATTTTTTTGTTTTTGCAATAATCTAACCGCCTGATTTTAATTTATCTACTTTTATTTAACCTTTCAACGCAGGTGGAGATTAAAAAAATAAGTGCTAATGCTAGCTCTTTAACTCAGCCTAATGCCAAATGGAGCAGCCAGTCTCACAGAGGACCGGAGTAGATCCTGATGAAGTATGTACTAAATCAAAAAATAGACTTTGAATCCATAAATCGTTTTTTAATCCAAAATAGATTCACAATCGAATTGTGACCCCAAGAACTGAAATTCCAATCGTGAGACACCCAAAGATTCCCAGCTCTAGTGGGGAAGATGACTTTAAGATCCTGTGACTGATGTGATCTTCGTGCACCTAATAAAACGGCTTCATTTTATTTCATGCTCTTCAGTATGTTCTTCTCCACTCATTGATACTGTTAATACATTTCATTTCACCTTGCGTTGATATAAAACGTTGGATTCTGTTGCTCGGACCCGATCTTGGTATGTCCTTTTTTAGGTCATGCTTCCTGAGAGTCCCCTCCCACCCCATCCCTGTCAGAAACTAAGGAAGATTTCAGGGGCAGGCTGTCATGATATTCTATAGACATTTTTTTAGGAGTGCATGTGTGAAAATGGCTAAAGAGAATCCCAAAAGGAGACAGACAAAGAAGAAGATGCATTTAACAGTGTGTTACCTGTAGAAGGTGTACGGGTTGAGACCTGGAACCTCTAAGGAGCGGGCTTCAGGTTCATTGGTCACCTGATGGACCATCACCCAGTCTTCATTTTCTCCTACAACACCCACCTGGTGACAAGAAAAACGACGCAATGAAGATCTGTATGAAATCAGATCTTTGTCAAAATCTTGAATTCATCTTAAAGTAAGAAAAACTAGACAATGACCTGGGCCTCCACCTGCCAACGGGAAATGGATGTTTTGCCGTCATATCCGGGTTTGAACTGCAGCGTGATGGAGCGTGCGCCGATGTTGGTGATCGCCATGCTCGAGGGAGGGCCGGGCAGCTCTGTGAGGAAGCAGAGAGACAGAAGATGGATGAAAAATGTCACTTCTCTGGGTGTTTTTTGTTGTTGTGATGCTGCCTCTCCCACAGGGTGCATTTAAGGTTTGTAGACTAACTGCTGAGGGTAAATCTATTTACAACAGCTCCCTCTTGTGGCCGTACAGATACCACACATCGCTGAATCTGTCATGTTCTTTTTTTTTTCCTCTCTTGTGCTCCCAACTTCTGCTAAGACAGCAAAAGCAGATTAGACGTGTGTGGCGTGAAAAAAGAAAGAAAAAAGAAAAGATGCTCACACAAAGTACACAGGCGGAGACAATGCCATGAATGTCAATTACACTGCAGTTATCTGGAGATATGATTCAATCTGATATCCCACTGTTTACACTTGAGCCGGGGTAAACAATAAGAATGGATTATTCCTTGGAAATCCATGAGGGGAAACAAATCTGAAAATGGCAAATTCAAGGAACAGCGGGGAGGGCATTTTTCGGTATATGAATCTCATTATTAGTTTTGTTTATTGAGGGATTATTCGTCTTCTTTCTTTCTTGGTCGGAATGCGTGCGAGTTTGTTTGTGCGTTAAATAATTCATTTTCCATCGTTTTTTTTGTTTTTCTCCCCTTGAGATTAAACATTAAACCTACCATAACATAGAGTTTTACATATTTACATCTGAGATATGAACGGTGCAGCTGTAGCGAGCTGGACTGTGGCCGTGATATTAAAAAAACATCAAATCACTCCTGCGGGTGCATTAAGCCATTCTTTTCCCCAAGATTGCCTCAATGTCCGTGTACTCAAAGCCCTTAATGAAATGCAGATTACACACAGCGTAAGTGAAATTACTACCTCTAAATCATTTACATGAGCGGTAATTGGAGCTGCATTGTTGCAGACACGTAGGTGTTTTCTTTACACGTATACAAAGAGAATAATCACCACGCCGGGGACCGTAACTGCTGCTCTGCTCTCGGTGTAACATCCCTTTCCTTTCACAGGTTGCACAGATGTACGGCCTCTGAATGCCACTCTGCTAATTGGCGTGGTGTATTGTATTTTCTATAACACAATTTTTGCAAATATGAAATCATTAAACACTGTAATTATGTTCAAAGCTCCCGCAGGAGCTGTTATTTCACCGACGTGGGGCAGATGTGAATTGGTTGGTTTTTTTTTTGGTTTTTTTTGGTTCCATCCCAAGCCGAGGTGACTGAGGATCCTGTTTCATTGTGCCTGGCGCCAGACGGCGTGCAGTGGGTGCACGGAGTTTAATGTGAGACAGTAAATATGCAGGGAGGAGAAGGAGGTGCGGTGAAGGTTCACAGCGAATGTTAGCAGAAAAGTTTTGCCTCACAGAGTGGAGTTTGGGGAGTTTAGGGAGTTTTACAGAAGTCTTTAAAGAGGTAGAAGAGGCTTTACTGAAAAACGACAAGAAGTTGCATTTTGGGAAACGTAGGATCCAGTGTTTTTTTTTGGAGCTGCAGGAACTAAAATGTAATACATTCAGGACTTTATGTCTTAGGTGTGTCGCATGCTTTCTTTTCTTTTTCTTTTTCAAATAAAAGTTGTGAACTTCACAAATAACACCCCCATTCAGCCTTGACGTACTGACAGTAGCTCAGTCTGCAGAGAGACTTGGTTTGGGAACAGGAGGGTCGACGGTTCAAATCTTGGTGCGGATCAAGTCATTGAATTGGGCTTGTTTCTGGAGAGGTGCTGGTTCACTTCTTGAACACTGCTGAGGTGCCCTTGAGCAAGGCACCGAGCGCTCTTTCATGTGCAGCCCCCCCCCTCACCCTGACACCTCTCCATTAGTGCACAGGATCATGTGAGTGCGTGTGTGTGTGTGTGTGTGTGTGTGTGTGTGTGTGTGTGTATTTCAGCCTATATGTGTGTTCCAATGTTTAAAAAAGGCAGATGAGTCATACTGCACTCGTTTACTAATTTCCGACCAATTACAAAGCTTTGTCGTGGCTAACGGTCCAATCAACTTTATTCCAACCTTATGTCCCGCCTTCTACCTTGTGATTGGTTCTATCCAGTTTCAGTAGGAGATACGTCGCGACACGGCCGTTTGATACTCTCTAAATTCAGTTTCATGGGGACTTGATGAGTTAGAAAACCAGTATGGTGTACATTACTGCCTCCTACTGGACAGGAGTGGAACAAGGTAGAGAAATGTGGGCGGTGACAATAAAACTAACATCTTTACAACTTGGTTTACTTTCTTTGTAAAACAAATAAATAGCTATTAAAGAGTTTAAAATCGCTGATCTAAACCTTCAGTTTTTGTAGCGATGATGTGTTCACTGACCTGGTGGGACGCCCGAGGAGATGGTGGAGGAGGAGAGCAGGCCCTGGCCTTTGGAGGTCATTCCGGCCACCTCGATGGTGTAGGTGGTGAGAGCAGTGAGTCCAGTGACCCGGTACTCTAATGTGACGTTCGGCAGGTAGTGGGTGACTCGCGTGTTCGTCCGGTTGTACTCCTCCCACGAAATGCGGTAACCTGCGAGAGCGGCAGACACGGGATGGACAGACAGAGAGACAGAGAGACAGACAGACAGACAGAGACAGAGAGAGAGAGAGAGAATGCTCTGAGGGAAAATTCAGCAGCAGTTTGACGACAATTGCAACTCTCAGCTCGCATGCTACAGGGCGAACTAACAGAGATATTGAATTAACTTCATCAAAAATTTAATATAGCAAATGAAATCAGCCTGTGATTATACCTCCCTACACACATCCTCCACCCACTCCCATCCACCCACACACACACACACACACACACACACACACACACACTTACCCTCTCAAAGTTAATGCAATTTTCTCCTTGGCCGGCAGCTCTCTTCATGTGATTGCATATAAGGCATTAGGCAGCATTTATTTTTTTTTTTTTTGCCAAATCAATAATTTCACAAAGCATGTCAGTGTTTGTCTCCTGGGAGTGTGAAGCACATCAACATGTTTTAGGAGAACACTTCACAATATGCTTGGAACTCTCAACCTCTGTAAACACTCGAAATTCAATGTGAGCTGGTGGGAGCCTTTGCTCTTCATCCGAAGATTGCGCAGAAGAAAGTAGCACTATTATTTGAACAGTGGCTCCCTTGGAAATAAGATATTTAATGAAGACATTTTGAATTTTAAATCCCTGGACAAATAGAGGGAGAATCCTTGTTATAGATGATTCTGTTCTTTTTGTTAACTTTCAGTCTCATTGTTGTGACGAGTGGAGACGCTCGTGAGGATCAAAATGTAACCAAAAGCCAAACATCTCTTCATGCAGCTAGAAACAGATTAAACGTTCTCCCTGAGGAAGTGCTGCTCTGTTTCTTTTATTGTTCAGAGACTTTTACACGGTATGATGATTGAATGCCTTTACCCGTTTAGTAAAACATCCTTTATCTCCGCTTACCTCTGTATGAAATATTGAGTTTTGTCATATTTATTTTGCAACACTTGAAAGAGGAGATATAATGTTTAATAGAAGAAGTTTGAAGAATATCCTGCAAGTGTTGTCTCAACGCTGCATTTAGTGTCTTATGATCACATGCAGGTTTGGCATTAGGATGTCGTTGTTCATATAAAACACACAATAATGAGTGTTACACAATACTGACCCCAGTTATGTTCATATTAACATCTGATGGCATTTTGTGATCCGTTGACACTTCTGAGCTTGATATTACTGGATACTTTGGTCGTCTTGGCGCTGTTTTGCACCAACTAGTGTGTTTCATATGTGTGTGTGTGTGTCTTTAAAGATTAGATCAGATGTTTATTACCATTTGCACGGCTACAGAACAGTACAGGTACGGGGGAATTTGGAATGCTTAAAAAACTTAATTATATCAAGGACACAAGAACTATAAACTGTACAAAAAACTACAAACCTGACTGTAGAATCAAATAAAATACAAGCTTTCTTGCCTTGAGAATTTTTTTTCCCAAACTTATAACGTCATTTTTTTGTATTTCATTTGGTGTTGATTTGTTGTCAGTTTTGGTCCTGTTGTAAATGCGTTTTTTTGTCTGGACCATAAACTATAAAAAACACGGACGTCGCCTCAGTGATGTCTCACATTGGTTTCTGAAGAGTCGTTTTGATAAGCCCAACGATGGTGGACGCCATATTGGAAATGCTATCTCAACTTAACTTGTGCTCAATCTCAACGCAGGCAAAGAGGTGAAGAGGAGGCGGGCTTTAAGCCTCTTGGATAACAGCTGCAATAATATCCTCCTGTTAGTAACTCAGCCACGCCCCTCATAATGCTAATTCATGATCAACTCTTTGGCGTAATGAAATCAAAATGGGTGTGTGCCAATATAGAAATGAGCAGTTAATACCAAATTCATTTTCAAACCAGGCTGTAAACGTGTTTATTTGTACTGTAAAAAAATGTGTTTGTGGACAGCCTCAAGTGGACACTCCAGGAACTGCATTTTTTTTTTTTTTACTTCCACATTTGCTTCATTTTTTCACACTTGAGGTTGACGCATGGTTAGGCACATTTTGAATACCCGATGGTACCTTTCAAAGGGTTTATCCTAAGAAATAAATTATAGACTGATGTTGTCTGGATGTGGCCTATCTTACATGGAACCAACACAACCTTGTACGCTTCCTTTTTGGTCATATTGTTGAGGTGTTTATGAATACTACACCTGTATCTTTTCCTTTAAATCTTTTGACATGTGGGGTTAAAGTGAACGTACCTGTGAGAACTCCATTCTTCTCGCCGGGCTCGCTCCAGCTCACTTTAAGCGAGGTGTCCAAGATCTCGGTGAAGCTCAGGTGACCCACAGCACCGGGAGCTGGACGGGGATAAAAAATTATAATGAGGGAGGTTGATGGGCAAAAGAGAAGCTCTACATGGAGTGAAAATGAACTGCTGCTCTGCTGAAATATTGCATTTAACTGCAGTCAACAAAATCTGCAAATTAAAGATAATTATTAACAAAAGAGTCTGGTGATAAGTTTAGGAAAATTAAGTTTTTAACACATGATCTCTGAGGAGGCCGAGTGCCAATTACGATGATCCCGGCTGCATGCAGAGCATACTCAGTCATTAGCACCTCTTCACAACTTGCCTCTGCATGAATGATAGATCTGGCCTGCAGGATGTGTTTCTGCGAGACGCTCATGTCCCCTCACCACCACAGGAGCATGAAAAGTGTTAAGAAGAAGAAGAAGAAGAAGAAGAGTCACTTACTGTCCTCGTGTGTCCTCAGCATTCTGGGCGGGCTGCGAGGGCCGTCTCCCGGCGTGGTGAAACACAGCACCGAGGTGAAGTACTCGGTGAACTTCTTCAGACCTGTCACGTAGCCCACGTGGACGCTGTCCTGGAAGTTGGGTCCCAGTGTCACCATGGAAATGTCCTTGTCTCTGGTGGGCTCCCAGGCCAGCAACTAAAACATCAAAAACAGAAATGAGTGAGAGAGAAGGAAATTATCCTGAAAGCTGCAAAATAAAGCAGCTAACAATTTTTTAGCAATAATTCTTAAACTAACAGTAGAGTCTCTCTCTGTTTAGGCTCTAGGATGGAGATTTTATACATCACCATCTTGTTTTTTGGGGATCAGCAGTGACCATATTTTGACAAAGGGGACGCTTATAATTGGCAATGGCACTCAGCCACGCCCTTAGGCATACTCTGTCGTACTCAATATGGGATCATGCTGGAAAACCTCAAAACGAGTTCCAGTTCAGTATCCTTTATTGTCATGAATGTCAAGACATTTGTCAAGACACCCAAAAGTATTGATTGGTGAAAACAAACTTAAAAAGTAAATGTTTGGTACGGGGTAATAAAACATGTGAGAAATTAGGTAATTACCAATTTAGTTTCATTCTATGGGACTTATTGTTTCAACAAGGGAAGTCGCCCCCTAGTGGATAGTAGACATATGTCAAGTTTAGGTTCTTTGGCTTTGCTTTTGCCACTAAGATAGTACGTCCAGCAAAGTATTTGATTTGCGTGCAAGTCATAGCTTTAAAGTAGCAGTATGTAACTCTGACACCTAGCGTTTAAAATGGGTACTGCAGTCCAAATTCAAAACATTTCCCCAACAGTCTCCCCCTTCTCCTCCTCGTCCCTAAAGCCGATGTTCAAACAGGAATCAGTTCTATCTGAACAAGTTTGCTTGTCTGTTTACATCACTGCAACACCTGTTGGTTTGCTGTTTGCCTGGCAAACCGAGGGGCGTCCAAAACGGCCGTATGGGGGGGGGGGTTGCCTTTAAACCGCCTACCTTCTCTGGTCTAAAACACATACAGACCATTCAAGACCAGAATCTACACTTCGGAGGAGGACATACTGGCTGCTGCATTGTTGTCAGAGAAGCCAGCACTTCAACATAGCATGTTTCCTTAATGATGATATAATATGGTCATTTTGTGATTGAATTCAGTTGATATCTTACAGATTGGACCGTTAATCTTAATAACTGCACTGTCAGCAACAAATGATCGATTACTCCATATGAGCCAAAGACATGTTCCCTTTGCATCGAGGTAGAATATTCCAACATATAAAAAAAAAATGTTTGTGTAATTTTCTACGAGAAAGATTGGCTTCTCTCCTTATGTAAACTTGTTCAAGGATTTCTTTATAATCCCTGAAGGACAATTTGCTTAACAGGCAGCAGTGCCGCACAAATGTTTATGAGTTACACAGCCTCAGTTGTTACAGGTGCTCAGCACTCCCTCTTCCTTTGCCTTACTCTTAATCCCCTCTCACACTCTCTGGCTCTTTGTTTTCCCCAGATCTGGTTTGTACAGTGACCCTTAAGTAAGGCCTGTGGAGTCCTATACTGAACAGAAAGACAAAAAGCAAGGCGGGGAAAAAAAACTCCCCCGACATGACATATATAAGTGTCACTGGAAAAGTACAACTACCCCGTGGATGTGGCTTTATGATTCCCTGTGGGGTACATTTGTTTCCATGAGGAATAAGCAAGAGACAGAGAGATGGACGACACTCAGGGGCGCGTGACAAAATAATGAAGACATTCATCATTATGTGCAACGCAGCGTCACAATAAAACAGATGAAAAATGGCGGCAAAGATAAAGAGAATGACCTCCGACTGACAAATGGGTGAACAAAGATCATTGTTCACGGTGGCGCGAAACACCTTCTGCCCCTTGGCGTTTCATTCTCTCTCTCTCGCTCTTGCTACACGGGAAATGTGATTCTACAAGTTCAGCTCTGACAGGTCTGTCAGTGGATGTGATGGCTGAAGGAGGTGGTGGTGGTGGGGGGGGGGGGGGCCGCGGCTCTGCTACTGACCTTGTACCCCTGGTTGATGCCGTTGATGAACTGAGGGTTCGGGGCTGTCCACGTAAAACGGATCGTTGTTGAGTTGACCGGCTCGGCTTGCACGTTCCCGGGGGCGACGGTGGGAACTTTGATGCACAAGGAGAAGAAGAAGAGAAAAAAACAGAGGAGGAAGAGAGAGAGGGAGGGGGGGGGAGAAAAAGAGAGAAGACAAAAAAAAAAAAAAAAAGGTGTGAGAGCAGCTCTCGCTTGACTGCTGGAAGTCTGCCTGCATCTGTTTTGATGTCGGTATCGACCGCCGATGCACAGGTCAGGGCAGATACCGCCATCACTCTCTGTCTGATGACACTCACACCTCCGACTGAGCTCTCCGCGGCTTTTGTTTGTGACTGCTGCGTATGGATTTCAGAGGGCCGTCACACCTGTGTGCGGTCTATACAAAGACGCGTTAATGCTAATGCAGCCGGACAGCAGGCTCAACAGTGTGGTTCCGGAAAGTAAAAAGCCGATTTGATTATCAGCCATAATGTCCTAACTGTCCGAGGTACCACGAGCTACCTGAGTGTGAAACGACGGAATATGCTCCTGTAGGAGACACAAGGTCGTATTATTTCTACAAAGAAAAACGTGGTTTATTCACGATATTGGGGAAAAGAACTACACTACCCACGACCGTACAGTGTCACAGCGACGTCGCCGATTAATGGAGCTCGCTGTTACCATGGCAATTTCTCTACTCTCGACGCTAAATCCGAACGCATATTTTCACTAGCAGGCTAGCTAGTTACTTAACTAACTCAAAATACACTAAAGCAGCAGTGAATGGAATTTATATATTCACACAACACAAACTACAACATAGTATAAAGACTATAACGACTACCAAAAGTTACATTAAAGAAGAAGTGGTATCACTCGCAATGGATTGTGGGAGAAGTAGTTCCTTGACTCCAGGCAGAAATTTGGCACACGTTTTCCTTTTTCTAAGTTTTTCAATGTCGTTTTGGCGCAAGCGGTTCAGAGCTGCGACGAGCGTCACTCAACACTGACATCTACGTTCACGTAAGGAAATCACATCTGAGTCACCTTTGCTTGCAGTGTGAATATAATGACCTCATTTCAGATGATGTACAGTACTATTGCAGCGTTTGCTCCTTTTAACTGCACATTTCAGGCAATAAATTTGTCAAGATATTTTTTTTTTTATGCCAATGCAAAGCTAACACCTAGCTTTGAGATACAAAAAGATAAAAATGACTGGACACCTTTTTTCAAATATACAATTCAAATATAAAACGTAAAATGATTGTAACCTAAGATCAGCAGATGTAGGAATTAGTACTGACTTGGACAAAGAAAACGATAGATATGATCTAATTCAATCTCATATCTGAAGCTTCTGAGGTTATTAGATCACTAATGTAGCGTCATTGTGTTTATTGTTTCCCTTTATGAGGCTATTTCATGACCTATCCTAACATTCTACTGACTCTTCAGTATTATATTGATTATCAAAGTTGTGTACAGATGATGTATTCACAGCAAAATTTAGGGCGATAGTGGAAGTGTTAAGCGGATGATTTCAGTTACAGATAAAAACAAAGTGCATGCTTACTGGAAACGTTTCTGTTTCTGTTTCTGCCCTTGCTGGATGTTGCTCTCCGGCCTTTTTTTCAATAAATAATGAATAATCAACATGCTTAAAAGAGAGGCCTTCTTCAAAATTAACACATACAAATGCTGACCGGATGAAAAGGATTCATTCAGTAATTAAAGAAAAGAAAAACAGTCAGCGTATCAGCTTCGTGTTCGGATCAATATCATCCATGATATGAGCGCTCACCTCCCTGCAGGGTCCACTCGGTGACTTTGTGGCTGTAAGCGCCCAGACCGGCTCCGTTGTAGGCGGCCACCTCGATCTCGTAGTTAGTCCAGATGATGAGGTCCTCCAGCAGCAGGGTGGTCACATCTGGACTGCTGATGTTCTTGATCTGGTAGTCCACGGGCAGCCCGGTCAAACGGTACCTGAGAAAACAAACAGATGACCTTTTAATTCTGTGTTTTTGTCAACCCTGAGTTTGACATTTCAGGTTGTTCACTGACAAAGACAAGACATTAAAGTGCTTTTTTTTTCTTTTTTTGGGGGGGCGGGGGTCAGAAAATACATGCAGTACACCAGACTCCCTGCTAGGGGGAGACAAAGCACCAACAAACAGGTCATTAAAAAAAGCACAGACAGCACCTTGTGTAGTGTGGAACACACCTGCTGTTTCATTTGGTTGTAATGAATAAAAAGCCTGACAGGAAAGCAAACTAATTACATGTTTGCAGAATTTACAGTCAGCTGGCAGGAAGCTGACTCTGCCTATTAGAGTTGCTCAACTTTTTTCTGAAGTCTTACCTGTTATTACATTTTCTCTCAGACTAAATTCATATCTAACTTCTGAGTGGTTAACATAGAAGTAAATAAAAGTGTTAACCAACACGGTAGAGGTGATTATCAATGGCTGGCCCCCCAAAAGCTTCCCATCCGGCCCCCAGAATATAAATTATCTGTATGTCTAAACAATAGACATACAAATAAAATCACAAGGCTGAAATATTTGCATTAGGTTAATATTTTTAAGTCCCGCCCCCTCAGTGTCTGTCAAGAAAAAAGCTGGCCCACCCCTTGTACAGATGTAGTTAATGACCCCTGCTGTGGGTGGTCTTTAGTAGAACATACTGTGTGTGGCTTCATCCCAGCAGCTTAACATAAAAAACTTAATGGAGTGAAAAGTCTATAAAAAACGGTTTTATATGGTAACATACTGTATTCATAAGAAGATGCATAGCACATCTTCTCTCTGATGACACTGATGACATCTTACCGAGGTGACTAAAGCCCGGCTCACACTGCAGGAGCTTTAAAATCCTTCTTCATTTTTTTAATTCGGGGAGCATCACACACATGAGGAGAATCCTAACAGACATTCTTCTCCTTAATCTCAAACATGCTCACACTACCACATGAAAATCTTGGCACATCACAGACTTCAGGATATTATTAAGATTATCGTGCCCGGCGGAGGAACGCAACCACCTCATGTGACCTCAAGTAAACAATGGAGCCGGTGGTTAAATTTGTGATTATAATGCTTTGTGCAGAGAGGAATTTGTTCTTGTTTTTAAATCTCAAAGAAAGCTGTTTTTGGGTGAAGAAATTTCTGAGGAGAACATTGATTGTCTGTTCTTCAGACATCGCAGAGAAAACATTTTCTTCCAAATATGATCCATTTCATCGTTTATAAGAGTGTTTTAACAAGACAAGAACACATCACTGAGCTGATTGTGTGCTTATAACTTCCAGTTTTGTAAATGTTTCTCACCGATAACACTACGCTGAACTGAATCAATGCATTTACATAATAAATAATGACATGGATTTCAGTGGAGGGGGAAGTGATGACACAGGATTCTTACCGGACGGTGTATCCTCTGAGGATGCCGTTCTGGTGGCTCTCTGGCGGCGGCTGCCACTGGATCATGATGGACTGGTTGGTGCGGCCGCTCGCTATGACGTTCTGAGGGGGAGCGCTGGGGGGCTCCTCTGGGAGAGAGACGCTGCGAAACACACACATAAACAAACAAAATCTGAAGGAGTTGGGACTAAAGGAACCGTTCTGAAAAATCATCCCTAAACACACGCTTTGGTTTATTTCAAGCCCCCAAAAGACACAAAGCTCTGTGATTGTATAACAGACAGCTCAAATGAAGCATATCGATTCAGAGCACAAACACTCCTCTTCTGTCTCTGAAATGTTTCCTTCCACTTCTTTGCTTTTGTCAAAAAAAACCCCTTCATCATTCCCTGAGAACTTCTGCTCCCAAAACTCGCTCTTCTTAATGCCACATCTGAGGAAGTCGTAGGCTACTCAGCCGGCTAATCGTCGTGTATTCACCCTGACGAAACACCCCGAGGAGGGGACTGGTGTGAGAAGTGGAAGGCAGATCAGTGTTGGTGACTTTGCACCATGTGGTGACACAGAGCGTCGGCTGCCAGCACCCCCCCTCAGTGGCTCTCGTCTGGCTGGGGAGCTGGCAGCGAGAGAGGCGGCCTGACAGACTGGTGGAGGGAGGGGAATTCGGGGGAGATAAGGGGGGTGGAGTGAGTGCTTGATGTTGTGCGAGGCCGCCGAAAAAGCTGAACCCTAATGTCGCCCCAGACCTTCAAATCCCTCCTGTGGCTTTCAGAGTGTGTGAACATGTGAGAGTCTGAGTGTGTGTGTGTGAATGTGTGTTTACATGAGAAGGTCATTCACAACGTTTTTAAGATTCCTCAGAGCTTTTGTTGAATAAATACCTGACTTTTTAATCATACATTCAAAGAGAAAAGTTTTGGACGACTTTAAACCAAGAAAATGGAAGTCCTTGTCAAACTGCATGACAAAGAAAAGCCCTAATTCTTCCTCATAGAGGTAGAGTCTGGAAAAAAAACAACTAAAGAACTAAAAAACTAGAGAAGAGTTTGTCATTTTGTAGGAATTAAAAGGACATCACAGGTCCAAAATGATAAACCTAAACCAAAATAAACCTGGGATGTCCTGGGATTCAATCGGACCTTCATGTGGAAATTACATAAAACTGCTTTTGTCGAACCTGCAGGAAAAACAGACCCTGAACCAGAATCTGATTTGTCCAAAAAAAAGACCTGACAAATCTGTGGGGGGGGTGGGGGGGGGTGGTCTTTTTATGCCTTTTTTTAAGCGACGGGACTTCATAAAGTGTCAGAAATCTGGGAGAGAGTGAGAGAGAGGAGGAAATGAAATGCGGGAAAGGAGCCACAGGTCGGATTTGATCCCGGGGCCGCCCGCTTGGAAGACTATAGCCTCAGAAAGGGGGCGTCGTTAAGGTTTTGGCATGTCTGACTTGAGTTGATGTGAAGCTCCCTCTGTGCCCAACGCTGAAATGCAATCTGAATTCACAGACACCAATATTACGTCATCGTAGAATCATTATGAAGTAGAAAGATGGGACGCCGGCTGAGCTGAGATTTTTTGCAAAAAAAAAAAAAAAAAAAGTCTTAAAAAGTGCTCATGGGTCTTCTTAGATCTGTTTTTTTTTTTGTTTCTTTTTACACATAATGGGAAACAGTCCAGGGATCCATGCTATTAGAAAAAACCTGACTTTAACCAAAGCAATGCTGATAATAATAAAATTTGGACCAAAAATCTCAACCCAAGAACTGGCCCCTGGATCTGATGATTTCCAGGGACAGAAAAGCTGACAAAGTCCCCTAGAAGGAAATAGACGCAGGTATTTGTCTTGAGCTTACCGGTCTGTCTCCTTGCTGAACTGCCCTTTCCCCACGTCATTAACGGCACACAGGCGGAACTGATAGGAGCGTGCAGGGATCAAACCATTCACCGTCACTGCTGTGGACTCTGGCTCAATATTGGCAAGCAGGATGGCCCAGGGAGCGTCTGGAAATATAAAGATAAATTACTATTCCAATCAGTCACCCCTTACAGTTACATCCTGTAAAAAAATGGCACATTTTTGTTCAAAAAGAGATTTTCACTTTTCATGCCTTCAGTCAGTTTTGCCACAGCAGGTCACAGTTATAGAATTCAAAATCATGAAATCAAACAACTCCGAGATTCCATAGAGATCCAGAAAAAAAAAAGCATCTAAACCTCCAGGGAATCATCTTAAATTGAACATACTTGTTACATGCACGTCTTGCAGTGCCCCGCTTTCAAATCCAATGAGAGATTAAATACAGTGATGGAGACTCTTAATTGGCCTCGTTGATCGATTCTTCATCAAAGATTCTTTTTCAAGTTATTCGCTGTGTTTGCTTTCCCCCTTAAGAGGGGGAAGGGGGGAGGGGGACGCTCACACATTACAGACGCCTGTCTACATGGAAATAAAGAATCCACTGGAGCTACACTTGATGCCTTTTTCATGACAGCAGAACTGCAAAAAAAAAAAAAAAAAAAATGCAGTTCCTTGGATGAAACATGTTTACAGCCTGGTACAAAAAAAAAGTTTTTTGTCTGAACTGTGTTTTTCTTTATTTGTTCACACTATACAGGGGTTATTATTTATTATAATGAATCTGCTTTAATGATATTTAAGATGAGAGTTAGTCATACATTTGTCATACTAGATGTAGTAAAAGTAAAGGTGACCTGAGATCTCTCTGTCTGTGCTGAGGTTGTCAAAATGCGATTTGCACTAAATAAAATTATTTCATACATTACTGGGGGAGTTTATACAAAGGTCTTTTTGTAGGTATATTCTGGTAGGATTTTATCAAAGACAACTATGAAAACTTTTTTTCATGTGGGTCCAGGGTTGGCTCAGCATTTCTTAGATACAAGTGGGGGGGGAGGGATCAAAGGGGAAAAGGTTGGGAAACAACTGTTCTGTATGGTAAAGTGTGACTGACAGGCACAGAACAGATGCAACAGATGGATGCACTTGCTGGAGAAAGAAAGTTTTTGAGTGACTTACTGTTCTCGGAGACCTCCAGGATGTAGCGTATGAGAGGACTGTTGCCATCAAACGGCTTGGCCCAGGCCAGGTCGATGGCTCTCTTCTCAGATTTGCTCAGCACGGCCGTAGGGTTCTCTGGGGCATGGGGCAGCTGCCTGTGGGGGGGGGGGGGGGGGGGGGGGAACACCGACACAACTTTCGATAAATAAAAGAATCTCTCCCATCACAGCAAATCCTCCGCGGGGACCCGGAGTTACAGAGCATCTCGGGGGCCTCCCTCTGCCCATCTCTTGGACGGATCTGAAGTAAAGCTGGATGTTTTTATAACAGAGAGATCAGTCAGACAGGTGATGAAATGTGGCGAGACAAGACTGCAGAGACGGTTACTTGTCAGGACGGACGTGCGCGCGGGCGAGGAGATGGATATCAGCAGAGGGGGTTGGAAATGGATGGAGAGGCATAAGGAGACAGAAATACACGGACAAAGACGTGAATAAATGAGAGGGAAATGTGGGGATCAGTCAATCATTCAGCTGGAAAATGAGACACGCACACACAAATTGGAAGATAAAACCTCATTGCAGTGGACAGATACAGACGGTGAAGCGAGATCGGCCGATACGCCGGAAAAAGAAAGACACGAAGAGCCAGTACGTCAGCCCATCACTTTTGCAAACACAACGTTCGATATCTCACTCATATTAAATTTACCGTCGCTGCAGTGAAACAACGTGCGGCAAAAATAGAAGGCAAAGTTTTGGAGGAAAAAAAAAGAAGAGGATTCGAGTTGAGAAAAACAATGCAGAAGTACTGGTGTGTGTCTGAAAAAGTAAGTCTCACAGATGGGGGGGGGGGGGGGGGGGGGGTGAATGAAGTCCCCTGGGGGATTGAAGTGTGTCAGGTGAGAATGAGGACAGGGGAGGTGACGAAGAGAAGGTGTCATTTAAGTGGAAATGAGTCAGAGGTGCAGAAGGAAAAGCAGGGGGAAAAGGTGTGTGTGCGCGTACATTGTGGGTGTGTGTCTGAGTAACTGCGTGTGTGTGTGTGTGTGTGTCCTTGTGAGGCTGCCTTGCGTCTAAGAACATGTTCCACCTTGCGTCTGTGCACGGGCAAATAAACAGGAGAGCGTGCGAGAAAAGGGGAAAGAGAGGGAAACAGGAAAGTGCTGAAGATGAGTGTGGGATTACCTGACACGGAGGTGCGCGCTGCGGGAGTCGTTGCCGCCGACGGAGGTGACTCTGCAGGTGTAGGTGCCGATGTCGCCTGACCAGGTTTGGGAGATGTGGAGGGTGCCGTCAGCGTCCAGCCGCATGCGGGGGAAGGATTGGACCTGGATCACTGAGCCGTCTTTCTCCCAGATATGCCTGCAACACAAAACTTTGGAATTTAACTGGCCTGCTGTTGGTCACTTACATCATCACCATCATGGGCTGCATCTCAATTCCTCTATTCACATCAATCAGCTTGAGCAGTTTTTAACTGCAACTGAGTCGTCCATATTAAAGGGAAACTGTAATATTTGTAAATCCATTATGGCTGTTGGAAGCAAAAGTATTTCTCACCACTTATGGTTTTGATATTTTGGGAAGTGTTCCAAATTACTCAGCCAAAAAGAACACTCTCAATTTCTACACAATTAGAAAAAAAAAGGATTATCTGAAAGACTTAATGTTGAGCCCTACCAAAGGGATACATAAAAAAAAAAAAGCCCCAAGGAAAACATTTTCCCAAGTCCTTGTGTCAGGATCTCCAATTCTCAAACATTAAATGGTGTCATTTAAAGTAGTCGTGATTGGCAGAATTGTGAATAGGTAGTGATTTCCAGTGCCTACAAAGTCAATGGAGAGCTGTGAAGAGGGTTGGTTACTAAACTCTGTACTTTTTTTAAAGCTTTTTATGCATTTATTTTGAAGTAGGACAGTGGATAGAGACAGAAATCAGGAAGAGAGAGAGAGTGGGAAAGCAGCCACAGGTCGGACTTGAAACCCGGGGCCACCCACCAAAATAGGGCGCATGTACTAACCGCTAGGCTACCAGTGCCCCTGCAAAAACCTGTACTTTCAAGGGAGCCTGGCACATTTACATCAGTGCTCATATACAATCCAACGCTTGCTAAAATTTTGCGTCACGATGTTTGGAAAGACCTGACGCTGGAGGACCGGGTTCAAAAGAGAAGGAGGCACTCACAAGAGGCAAATTGTCCCCAAGAGCTTCACCCAAATCCAGTCGCCTTTGTGATTACACTTGGACTTTCCATGAACTGGATGACTGAGAAGCCTCACAAACATCATCCAATCACCTTATTTTTTTTATTTTTTATTTTTTGCCACAGAGCAACTTCTTCGTCTGAGACACACACAACAGTGTTCTCACACATCCTCCCAGTGACAGATTTTGACAGGCTGCAGGTTGTCTGGATTGGTGTCTGAGGTAAGAGGAAGTTAGGGAGGTGTGTTTAATGTGTTTTCTAAAGAAATAACTAGAAATAGAAATGACTTGACTTATTTTACACATTGAAAATTGTTGTAATTACAAAGAGAGTGAAAGACCAGAAAAAGCACCATTGGCTACCAGTTCAAAGATTTCAGTGCTGATTTTGGTTTAAGTCTGAACAGTAACCAAGTTGAGCTGTGAATGGACCTGAACAAACATGTTTTCTTTGTAGGTAGACCAAAATGAGTTAGAACTGCACGAATAATCAAAAGCAGAATTAACCTTTTGTTCTCTTTGAAGGTAACCTTTTCATTCCAGTCAAGATCTTAAAAATGTTCAAACTTGACGGGCCAGGAAATTATATTCTGCTCACATTTTGCTTCCACTTGAACTACAAACTGTGCACAGTTTTACATTTTTGGCAAAACAAATTTACGGATGTTTCAAGAGAACGAAAAATTATTTTTTAAGTTGAGAATGACTCACAGCTTCTAAATTTTTTAAATTCTGTTTGCTGATGTTGATTCAGTCTCAAAGGTGTCGGAGGCAAGCATCGCACTGTATGTTTACGCACATTCTGCAATCCTTAATATGATGCATGAAAATGTACATCATAAATAATTACAACCAGACTTTTAGATCCTAACTTTCCTCATTCAGTTACCACCCACTGGGATGTGAGCTATGCTGCACACACGCACGTCCGTTTAAGATAGAAGGTTAACTCTTCTTGATGTCAAAGTGTTGAGTAATTTTGCTCCGTCTTTTGTTCCATCACAATCTGAGGAGAACCTGTTATTAGTGCTGCATTTTATCTCTCTCCTCTGTCTCTTCAAAACTCGCCATCAGAGCTGCCCTGCATGCACATCATAGCTGCTGACGGCTGCATATCAAACACTCATCAAAACGGCTCGGCGCCACCGTGGCGTCAGATGTAGCCTTCTCTCCTGAGTAGAAAGAGACAGAATGGTCTATTGATCGCCACTGATGTCGGCGCCGAGCTTGGAGTTCAGTAAAGCGTCTGTTGTGAGGGGTTTGTGCTGTGCTGGTTTGGACTGGAGTTGTAAGCTGTGTGTACAGAGATGACTTTTTGTTATGAAACACAGACACAACACGACTGGCAAGTATTTGCTTTTATACAAACTACATATCTAGATGATGAGTTGGGGACATTTCTGTCTTTTGTTGTAAGACTATTTTTAGGCCTTTTCAACCTTTAATAGACGGCTAAGAAAAGACTGATAGGACACAAGCGGTGGGTGAGTCACATTAAAGCAAGTAGCATTGTTTGTGGTTAAAAAATAAAAAATAAGTCAACTTTTAAGTGCCAGGCACTGCAGTTCCTCTATTGACCACATGGGGGATAGCTCCTAAAGCAAGCAAATCGCGATTGTCTGCAGCCTGGAACAAGCTAAAGCTGAAGTTTCAAAAACTGCAGTTCCACAAGTGGCCACATGAGACTGGCTCCTAAACTGAGTCAATCCCAATTGAGCCCCATATTAAACTTTAAAGCAGAATTAAACATAAACAGCCTGGTTCAAAAACAATGTTGGTCTCTTACGTTGAATTCTGTATCAATGACAACTTTACAGGAAGTCAACTTCTTAGAGGTGACGCTGCTTTAGGGACAGGTGGGTGCAGCTAGCTGCTTGCTAGGTGTCACCTGAGCTAATTCAATTGGTGCCTTCTGGAATATTTTCTCACAATTACTGTATAAAGATATGGCCTACTGTACATTTTATTGTGCTAAACATTTTTTGGGTGAGTAAAATTAAGTCTATTACTTTAGCACAGAGTAGCATGTATCTGTATCTAAGCTAATCGTATTCAACTTTTTAGCTTGTTCAGCATTACACACACCGATTTCTGTGGAGCGGTCCGTGTATAAGAGACGGCATTGTTCTTTTTTGCGTTTTCCTGCTGAGAAGGCGTCATGCTTTAATAGAGAGAAGACCAGCTCTGTCTTTCATCTGCTGCTTTCACTTCCATGGGAGATGTATGCTAGCAAGCGGGGGATCTGCTACTTTAAGTAAGCTCTCTTTGCTTTTTCAGCTGAATGACTAAATAACTACAGTAAGTTAGCCCCATAAATAGAATCTCTATGTGTGGTAAATACAATGATCAACAAACTAATTAGCCAGCTAATGAATTAGCCACCCGCAGTTACTGCTTAGCTTTTGATAGTTTAGAGTGATCCTTCTTTCAACCGCCAATCTCATCCAATTAAATTCATGCCAGAAAACCAACATGGCGATGGCCAAGATCCCAAACATATGGCTTCAAAAAGGCAGCCTGCAAACCAATGAGTGATGTCATGGTGGCTACATCCATGTATCAATCATGACACATCATGACTTGCACTCAATTACTGTACACAGCACAGACTATTGCACTTTCTGCTTATTTGCACTTCTGGTGAGATGCCAAACCTCATTTCGTTACTCTATACTTGTATATGTGTAATGACAATAAAGTTGAATCTCATCTCATCAAACAAGCATTGCTCTGGGTTGCATATTCCTTTGTTTCTATTCCAGAGCATGTATTTATTCATGCGCTTGAATTGCATTCACTGCAACCCTCAACAACCCTGTGGGGCAACTGCAGAATAGCAGCAGTGAACCCTACAATGCAGAGAGGTACATGATAAATACTTTGAGCTAAGGGTTGTAAATGACTAATTAAAAACCAAAAGTGTTAGGAACAATGCAGCAAGTGATTATTAAAGATGGAGCGTCTTCATTCACAGATATATGGGCTGAAAAGGCTCAACAATTGGGCTTTGTTTGCTATTCACTGTCTCCTGCTAACAAGTATTGGCTGTGTGGCCAAAGCCTGAGATAGCTCATTCGTCTGAGCGAAAGAGAGCCATTGTTAGGCGTTAAATACACATCAATACTACACAATGGTTGCTGATCCCACATCCACTGTCCCGCTGCCCTAAATACTCACCAGTGAACCGAAGTGTTTATTAAAAAAAGGCTGAGAATAGTCCCCAACAGATGCACCGTTTACAAATGCTTGAGTTCCATTTGCCAAGAACTACAGTGCCCTGCTGTTTTAGGAAATTACTGAGCCCATATCAAAATGAAAGTATAAATTATTAAGATACGGAGGAACACATCAATGTTTTTTTTCCTTTCCTTCTTTGACAATAAGAAAAATACAAGTAAGCAGCTTTAATCATTTATGTGAAGCTGTTGTCTTTAAAAAAGTGCTGAATAATTAATGCTTTAAAAATGGACTTAACGTGCCAGATACTGTATAAAAAAACAACGTGTTTCATTAAGATTATTATTCTTTTCCTTCAAATTTGTTTTTTTGTTCTGTCTATATCCATTTGCGTCACTTTAATGCATTAAAGTATTATCTAATTATGCTAATTAAAATTATGCCATGTTTGTGAATGGACGAAGGGGAAAACCTCCGATCTTGAAAGATGAAGCTGACGCGGAATTGCTAAAAACATTTACAAGTAAAAACTTCACACGGGTTAATTTTTTAAATATCATTTCAGTTTTGATGATATATAAATTTAGAGTCATGCATAATTAGGGGCATAGGGCTAAGTTGACTGAACAGCGGGTGTCAAATAGGTTGAGACAATGTTTACAACATGGCCCTTAAAATCTGATCTGCCACCCCAAAAATCCTAAACTATGTTTTTTTGTTTTAGTGTCCTTAAAGAAGATATATGTTGCCACTCTTAGGTTACATTAAAGTAGATTATATTAGTCTTTAGAAAGGGTAAATAATTAAGATTCTTGGGTGATGCCACTGAGGCGATGTCCATGTTTTATACAGTGTATGGAATGGACCATTTACCTGACAGTGACACTGGGGTCATGTGTGACTCCACAGGTCATGATGGCTTTAGTTCCTTTGATGACACTCTGGTCCTGTGGGGGGGTGGTAATCCGGGTGCGAGCTGTGGAGGGAGGAAAAAAGACCCGAAAAGAATTAGAGGGAGAGGCACAAAGAGAGAAGGAAAGAAAATCAGCTTTCACATAATATCGTTCCTTAGAAAAAAACACAATTGGAAATAAAAACATGAAAAACTAATTTCTGGGAAAATGATTGGTGCAGTTTAGTCTCTTGATAGTTTCACGCAGAAAAAAGCCTTAATGAAGAATCTAAACCTGCACAGAAGAGTCATTTTGTACCTGAAGGAATTGAGTGCGGCTCAGTTATTGTTATATTGCACAACCCTGTTTCTCAGCCTTTGTTTAACAGAAAGTGCACGTTCCTGTTTGATGTATGCACAAAAGTCCTTAAAATATCTAGAATTTTTCAGGTGAGCTGCGAACTCGAGCTGTGAACGCAATCCACTCATTTTGTTGCCTCGACTTAACCGGGGGCTTCAGGGTTGCCAGGTCTGTGTGACAAAACAAGCCGAATGGCCATTCAAAAACAAGCCCATAACAAGCCGAACAGCTGATAAAACCAGCCCAAAAACCAAATGAGCCCATAAAACCTCTGCCAAGGCAGCGAGCGTGAGGGCTGTGGTTGTGTGTGCGGGCACAGCAGGACTGTGTGTCTGCGAGTGCATGAGTTGGGCATATTCCATGTCTACCTGTTTGTCGATTTGGTTGGATTTTTGCATTAACAAAGTCATTTATTTATTATATTGATTTTTCTTTTTAATTTATGTAAAAAAATGAATAAAAAAAAGGTCCATTCAACCCAAAGACAAAAAGAACTACCCGCGGCAGCACCTTAAAAGTAGCCCAATTCTGTGGAGAAAAGGTGTACCTGGCAACCTTGCTGGGCTTCTCCCTGCAAGCCCCCTAGTGACCATAACCCTAGTAGTAGCAGGGGAGGGGTGAGTCGTTTGATTGTGTGCATATAGTGAAGCTGCTTCATATGTGAATTTGTGTATATTTTCAGTAACATGTAGCATTGCTTTGTAGGCTAAAACTGTCATCATAGCATCAGACTTTTTTTTTTGCTTTGAACATCATTTCCGAGGCGTTCTTTCCGTCCCCCATCTGACAGGGATAGTGTCACGTGGTGCATGGACAGGCAACTCAAGAAGATGTCAGGGTCAGGCTGTCCTGAAACTCTAGAAATTTCAAGGAGTGCATGCATGGAAAAAGTGTTTAAGTATTCTGTTTGAAACTATTCTGGTTGAATTCACACACACACACACACACACACACACACACACACACACACACACACACACACACAACCAGAGAATGGCTATCATCTAACCCTGCACACTCACCCCACACCACGAGGTCAGCGGACGCCTCGTCGATGCCCCTGGAGTTGCTCGCCATGCAAGTGTAGGTGCCGGCGTCAGAAATGTGCGAGGGCGAGATGAGCAGGCTGCCGGACTCGAGCAGGGTGAAGCGAGGCAGCTGGACTGAACCGCTGGCCAACACTCTCTCACCTTACATGGATAAAGAGGCAGAAATAGATAAGACAGCAGGAACATAAATAGACATTAAAAAAAAAAAAAAAAAGGGGAACGAGAATGCAGGGAAGGACAAAAAAACAAGGTATTAAGGGAAAGAATAGGAGAGGGAGAGGATGCAAAGGAAAAACAAGGACATTGTTTCCGGATCTGCCATTGGGATCCAAACATGAAAAGCCTGGCACGGACTAAATCCTGGTAAAGGAATCCAATCAGGCTTTATTTGTTAAGCCATGGCAAACTCAGGTCCCATGTGTAAGAGATAACAGGCAACATAATCCCCAGCTGTGTGTGTGTGTGTGTGTGTGTGTGTGTGTGTGTGTGTGTTTGCATTTGTGTATCCGAGACCTTTCTGCCAGGTGATAGCCGGTCTCGGAGCTCCAGAGGTCTCGCAGTGCAGGATGACGGACATGCCGTCGATCACCGTGCTGTCCGAGGGTCCGGCTGTGATATTCGGGGCGATGCCTAAAAGGACACACAAACACACACAAAATATAAAGAACGAGGGTACGCTCAAGAGTGATGCTAAGAGGGTTACAGAGGTGAGAGAATAACCATCTGTGGAAAGAAACCCTCTTCAAATGTGTTTTATGTAAGCGCCAGGCGGCTGGATCTCAGTGTTTAGACGCTGCTTTGTCTCTCTAATTCTTAACGGATTGACACAGCCTTCACCTCGGCACCACCTCTGCCTGCCGCTGCTCAGTTTTTTTTGCCCCTCATATAGCGGATATTTAATGGGATGAGGGCTGGAGAAAGCTGAGGGGAAAAGGCACAGACAGAAAAGCGGCAATGTGTAGATAAACTAAAATCCCTATTGGTGATATGCAATAAATCAAAGCTGTTTCTAGAATTACAGACGCTGTATCACTCCCCAGAGGGGAAAAATGGGAGGACGTAGGGGAGAAGGAGAGAAGTGAGGACATGAATGTGTTGAGGAAACAGGGAGGATGATAAGATGTTATGATAAGGAAGGAAAAGAGAGAGAGAGTAAAGGAGAAAGTGTCAGGAAAGGAGATAGGGAGATAGAAGGGGGGGGGGGGTGAGTGAGAAGGAGAGGGAGAATATCATGAATGTTGATAATGCGATGTGGCACGGAGTGAAGGCCGCAGCAGTTGAGACAAAGTGAAGAAAATGAGATGTCAGAAAGTTGCCAAACAGACGCACAGCGAGAATGAAATTACGAGTGATTTTCAAATCCCAGCAGCGGCGGTTCTTTAGAGAGAGAGACAAAACACACACACGTCTACAGAGTCAGAGTGATTCAGGTGATACGATTTAAAGCAGCAGACGTGAAGTAATGTTCACTTAATCTGTACGGGTCATATCGGCAGACAAGATATTAGAAACAATTTGAGAAGCTGTGATAATGTTAACCTACGTTCTATATTTATCATGATTGTAATGTCAAAGAAAGCCTATTGTCAGCAGGGGCGTGTCCAGAGGGGTGGCATGCATGGGCCTCCTTGAAATCTAATTGGCCACCTCAGGTGCTTCCCCAAAATCCTTGATTATAAAGGGGACATATTATGAGAAATCAAATTTGACAGTGTATTTGAACATATATTTGTGTAACCTGAGTGTCTACTGACCCACAAAATGTGAAATAAACCCATCCAGTCCTTTGCTCTCCTTGTGACATCACAGTGGGATTCTGGTAAAAAAAAAAAAAAAATGCCTCCGCTGGTATCTCCACCCATGAACTCCACCCCCAGCCTAGAGAAAAACCTTTTGCGCAGGTCCGCTTTTATTTTTTTTCGCTAGCAAACGAGGCATGTCTACCGGGAAAACTCAGGCGGGGCTCATTGCATTTAAAGAGACACACACACACCAAAACGGAGCGTTCTGAGAGAGCTGGTTTATACAGGGTCACAAACCTCCTCTGGTGCTTGATTCATGTTATATTTTGACCAAAGCACAGCACAGATGTTTCATTTAGACCACAAGGGACTGTTTGAAAAGGTGGAAAAGGGGTTAAATATGTCCTCTTTAAGGCTTTAAGAGGTTGAAATCAACTATTCAGGCTGTGATACATCAGGCAGCTCATATGTGCAGATGTTTGTTTTGAGACTTTGGACGTACATATTGTTTTGAGTCCTTGAAGAATCAAGCTTAGAAGACGTATATGTTGCCATTATCTTGTGTTACTTTAAAGTTGATGTGTTAGTGCAGACAGAAGGGATAAATAAATGCTCTTCATTCATGTGTGTGCACAAAAACTTCAGCCCACCCCTGCACAACTGAGTGCCCCAGTTGGGCCACCCCAGTCCAAAAATATTGGACACGCCCCTGATTGTCAGACAGGATGTGCTGTTGGATACATTACTAATGAGCTCTGATTCCTGCAGCTTACAAAACACCAACATCGTCATAACACTAACTGTCACAGTGAAATTAAATTCTAATAAAAGAATCTAAAGTTTTCTTTTCTTTCACATATTCCCAAGGTAAGAAATGATATTACAAACAAGAAGAGAAGACATTTCAGACTAACAGTTTTCTGATGTAGTATATTGTTTTGTCCATCTTTATGTGTTTTTAACGAGGCTCATCATGTTCTTTTCAGTCACATTTGAATATTTTTTTTGTCCATCAGCTCTGTTTTATTTCAATCCCCTGACTATAATAGCTGTTATATAAAGTTTTCTGGAACAGATGAATCACGACCACGGTGTAATGATTGTCTCGTCAGGGCCATGTAAGGTTAAAGGTAGAATATGTCGAATCTTCACACTAAATCAAATCAAAAATGTATTTGAATAAAGCCGGAGAAACCCTCAATCTTATAGTTGTATGCCCCATGTCTTTTGAGCTGGCAATACCAGACACAGCGTGTTTATTGTTGCTATGGAAACATCAGATGTTACGTCGAAGACCGCTGCATAAGGAAGCGGGAACTTGGATATATTAGCTTGTCTGTAAACATATTTTCATCCTCAGGTTTGTTTCGCTCATTCGTCTTGATTACGGTCAAATCAGAGTTTGTTTTCATCCACGAGGGGGTGGGGTTGGGTGGGGGTAAAGCAGAATGAGTCACCCCCATGATTCCCCGTCAACCTGGACGTCGTCTTTTGTTATTGTTCTGATTGAGAGCCCCCTGGTGGCAGAATGTACATACTGCGCGTTTAAAGAGAATGATTTAGTTGACCTCTTGTTTTTTTTTTTGCTCTAATTTTCTTTTTTTCAATCAATCTTGATTTTAAACTACGTATGATTATTCTTCTTACAATTTTGTTGCAGTTATTTTTCAGGAAGAAGTTGCCCCAGTCCCCAGAATCCCATTTAAAGCTCTAAATTGCTCCGTCTCTTCTTCCTACTCTGAGGTTGGAATAACTTTCCATTTTCTGTGAAAAATAATTACACCTGGTCTTTTCTGAGTGTGAAGAGGGGTTTTTGCCAGAGCCGAGTGAGAATTTAAGAAAATTCTTTGAAATCAAAATTGAATTCTGAGATTTAACCCAACATGTTAAGCTTTTGTAGCAGTAAATTATTGGAAATGATGCTGGAGCACTCACTGGTTACAGCCAGGTACGTGTTGGTCTGAACTTCTCCCGCTGAATTTCTGGCGAAGCACTGGAACATCCCTGTGTCATCGGGCAGGAGGCCATTGACCTGCAGGCTACCCCCCACCAGCACCCTGTACCTGGGCGTCTTCACGGGGTCGACGGGCAGTGCGTCCTTGTACCACACGATGTCAGGCTGGGGCACTCCTGCAGAAAAAAAAAGAGAATCATGGTGAGATTTAAAGACGGCAAGTTATGATTCTTTTTCTTACACACAAGTAAAAGAGCACATAGTGTATATTTCTATTATAATTGTATTACTATTTTTCTTCTTTTATTAAATTACTGCAAATATGTTTGTTTCTAACTTTATCCAATCTTTTGCTGATTCCATCCATTTCTGCCAGGTCATGAGGCTTTCCAAATGTGGCCTTGATTGTCGTTCACTATGACACTCAAGAAAATCAAAACGGTTTTTCGAGTTCCCGAAACCTTAAAAAAAAAATCACCCCATACAGTGTGTGTCCATGATTACAATAACTAATCACCCCTTATTTGTTTTTTTTGTATCAGGCTGTAAACATGTTTATTTCTGCTGTAAAAAAATGGCTTTTTTGCCACTCTTGTATATGACTTCCAGTGTTCCTGGAGCCAGCCTCAAGTGGACACTCGATGAACTGCAGGAGTTTGCACTTCTGCATTGGCTTCAAGTTTCAAGACCTGAGGTTGCCGCTTGATCTCACCTCTTGAGTATTGCTTCCTTATGTTATTTGAATTATGCTTGTTGTGGGTGATTTACAGTATTTGATTTGATTTTTGTATGAGTGGATGTTCTGTTTGTTTGACCAAAAAAAAGAACACACACACACACACACACACACACACAGCTCACCTCGTGCCTGACAGGGAATGTCCACCACCTTCTCCATCTCGGCTGTGATGTGTTTGTCTGGCTCTTTAATGAACTGTGGGGGTTCTGTGGGTGAGAATTAAAAATCAAAAACATGTTAAAAGTGTAAAAAATAGAAAGCAAGATTCCAATCCTGAAAGATTATTATTCACCACAGTTTAAAATACATTAGTGATTAGTTTTTTAAGTCAACTCACACTGCCTCTAAGTGATGACGCTCGAGGCTGACATGCACAGAAAATGTTATTCTTGCTTTAAACTGTATTGCTTATGTGAGCGAACCACACATGGCTTCACTGAAGAGAACGTAATTATACAGTAGTTTGATATCAGGTAATGGTTTTCTGTAATGGTTTTAAATGTCTCCTCAAAATCCGACGGGGGGGGGCTCGGTTAGCTGTATCAAGGGAAAGGTTCCCCACACCTCGTCCTTTGAGTCACACATCACAACCTTGAAGACATCAAAGTGTTGTTTTTTTTCCCCCACTAAGCTGGAAGAAAAGTGAGTCATGCCATGTTATATTAAACAGTTTCTTAAGGCCAACCTTTCCCTTTCCCCCTTTCTGAATCAATAACACTTCCCCCTCACTGCCATATTCACACCATGAGACTTGTAATATTTATGTAAATTTCAAACAAGCTCTTTTGTTTGAACTTTTGAACGTAAATGCTTCGCTTTACTCCCACACATTTGCCTGATGCATGTGTATAAATATAGACACAATGTTGTTGTTTTTTCATTTGGGTTGTCATGCTGATCTGGAAGCACAGACAACAAGAATACATCATAAATAATTACATTATTTCTTCTTCATTATGTGCATACCAAAATAAAATTTTAAATCTGAAAACAGGGCATCCCTTTAGGAAATAAAAGTCAGGAATGAACAATACAATAATTCGCTGTAAATCTTGAAATGCTGAAAAAAAAAAAAAACACTGTTAAAGGAAGAATGTGCGATTTCTTTTGATCCACTAAATGTTGCACTTGAGCACCAGCATGAAACCAAAACAAACTGCTGTTTGGCGACACCCCCCTTCAACTAGCGTTCGCATGGAGTAGTTATGGATTGGAACGCACCATAATTAAGCACCATTAAGGGGAAGGACAAAATTGTCCTTTACTGGAGCTGTAATTGCCTGTGGTCTGCATTGTTGTGGTAGCAGGCTAATGTTAGCACACTTTGGTTAACTCATAGCATCATATTGAACATAAATTGAATCGGAATGACCATGATATAAAGACACTTGACATGACATCCAAATAAGCAGTGAGTATGATATTCTTCTTTTCTGTAGTCCTTGACTGAAACCCTGTTAACACAGCTCCGACAACAATACAGCCAGCGGGACTCATGCTTCTCACTCCATGTAGACAGTCATGACTCAGAGAGACATTTACACAGGATATACTTGATTTCTGCTTTATGTGTAAAGTGTTGCACATTATTCCTTTAATACAAAAAGCACAAAATCAAACATTGTGCTAAGTGGTGGAAATCGCAAAACACAAACAATACATGAGGGAAATGAACGATGAAACTATTCTGACTGAGCAGCAGCAGATAAACTGAAGCTTTCCCATCATGGTTTATTTAAATGTGAATTTGCAGGTAATTTTCTTAACGTTTGTGTTCTCTCTCTTCAGTGCAATGTTCCTCAGGGGCGCTGTAACAAAAACAACTTAAAATATCCTGGAAATGTAGTGAATGAATAGAGCTACTAAGACTCATTGATGAAGAAGACACTCACACTTTAGCATGAAAGCTGTTTCCATCTTCAAATACTTAAGAAGCAATGAACAGCATAATGTCATCTGCATACGTGCACATTTAGAGCCAGACATCAATGGTTCTGCCAAAGTATGAGTGTGCAGTGATAGTCTTGGGGGGGAAATCTTTGAGTGTAAAGAGCGTCATAGAGGTTATAAATCTTACCTAGTACATGCAGATAAGCCCCAAGACTGACTGAGGGCACGCTGCTGCTGCGTAGAATGGCCTCGCACTCGTAGAAGCCGGAGTCGCTCACCATGGGACTGAGGATGGTCAGCCTGCGGTTAAAATCGCTCAGGCCGCTCGACACCAACACACCGTTCTTACGCCATGAGATGCTCAGCTTGATAAGAGGCCTGGAGAGGGAAAAGGACAGGATCAGATGTCTTCTCATCTGGTCGTCACTGAAAGACTCAAGGTTCAAAGTGAATTTCTCTAAAAAAGGGACATCTGAAAATTGGGTGCCTAAATAAAAATTATGTTTGACCCTGCAGCTCCTCATGTTTACCTGGCGTTTGCTACACACTCCATCGTGACCTCTGAGGTGCCCGTAACCACGCTGGTGTTCCTGGGAGGGATGATAATGGTGGGGGCGATGGGGTCTGCCGGACCTCCAACATCTAGACAGGGAGAGAGATGCACAGTTCACCACACACAAACGCAAAAGCACACACATGGAGAGGTTAATCAAGGAACGATGATCTAAGCAGACAAACACAGCTGAGATAAAGAGTTGTGAGTTCTCTGGATTGGGGTGTCCTATACATTTTATTTCCACTCAGTGCACTCTGAGGATTCACAAAAGGATTCCATGGATTTTGCACCAGCTCAACCTGTGCAAATTAATCAAGAAGACCCCAGAGCACAAACACACAGGGGGTTAAATGCAACCATAACTGCACTGAAGAGCAAATAGCGTCTCTGTGCTTCGGTGCTGGTTGCGCATATTTAAATGAGGCATATATATCATAATATATCATCGGTTCGAATAGCCATGCCAACGAGGTAGTAAATCATAAGACGTGACAGTGATCGAGAACACAATTGCACCTCTGTAGGACTTTAAAATAAGTGTCAGCTGCTTGACACTTCATCCACGTGTGTGGTGTCGTAAAGTTGCAGAAAGCTTTTGTCCACATTCAGACGCCAAACAAGAGCAAAGTGCACGGAGCAGCAGGACAACTATTCGGGCATGTTTGCATCTGAGTATCATAGGTTTTGTGAAGTAGACTTTGAAACGGAGCACGCAATGATGTGCAATTCTTTGACTCATTAGCGGTCGCAATCTCATTCTTGGTGAATCAGGCCCCGAGGGTGCTCATCAAGGTGAAATATTGAAACTGACCGGTGAACACACTGAATCCGAGCTCTGGCCGAGAGTTAGGCCGGATAGGTTGAGACAGCGCACTGACTGTGAATAATAAGACGTCTGCTGCAGAACCAGGAACAGGAATAGAAAAATACTGCCTGACAAACATGAAGCAAAAGGGGCGAGTAGGCTGCGCTGTGTGTGTGTATGTGCATAAAACTCTACTATTTTCCTGTCTGTGTGTGTGTGTGTGTGTAGCGAGCATCAAAAACAGACAGCCTGTGGCAGTGCGAGCACAGTGCGTGCGCGTGCTGCTTGACGTGTGTCATGTCTGTGATAAACTCACACTGATCCGTCAATCCCATCGAGCCCTGGGAGTGTGCTTGTGGCTGCACATGTCAGATGGAGCTACAGGGCCTGTCATGACTCAATCTCACCAATCTGGGGTCATTAGACGATGTGTCGAGACCATGTGAGCACTCATAAACATGGACACACATACTTAACATCAGGGGTGCAAAAAAAAATGTCACATCGAGGGCCACTAGGCTGATACAAATTAGACCACCATTTCATAAGAACAAGTTCACCATAGGAATTCTATCTTTTGGTGTTTTACAGCCGAAAGTGCTGCAAAAAAAACAAAAAACGAGTTGACCAAAACAGTTGTACATTGTGACATTTGTGTTCCTCATCGTGAGCATACATTTGCTTAGTACCCCTTTAAATCCCCCTGGGCCCCGGATCCCTACATGATTAGCCTAGCTTAGCATAAGTCAAACTGGGATTGGAAACATGTAATAAGCGGATAATGCATTACAGCAGATATACACTGCAGCAGAGTGAGGCAAGACCACCAACGAGGTCCTCTTCCCTGTAACGGTCTAACGCTCTACACCGACATGTAAGGCTGCCGCTCTTCCGGACACAGAACTGTGGGGTTGGCAGAGTCAAATTAAGGTTTTCAAACTTTGCCCACGAGTGTGGATTATTGTAACATGAGAAACACTAGTCCCCTTTGGAGTTCACCTTGACCTTTGCTCTTGCCAAATCTTAAGCAAGTATGGCTAGAGCCAGCAATGTCTCATGGGAAATGCATTGTCAGAGGCATCGCTGTAGGAACAGATACTCGCTGATACACGAGCACATTCAGTAAAACGCAAGCTCTCACTCAAACAACTCTCCCCTGGCAGTCTTAACATTAATGTGTATCGGTGTGTTTGTGTTTCTGTGCACTTGTTTCTCTGAGTGTGTGTGTGTGCATATGTTGAGATTGTGTGCAATGTTCATGTAAATGCCTGGCATGATTCCTTGAGACCTGCCAAGTTAAGACCTCCCACTAGGCTCCCTATCTTACCTGAAACAACCAGTGTGTGTTTGTTTATGTGTGGTGTCACTGGTATGTGTGTGTGTGTGTGTTTGTGTGTTTGAGCACAAGTATAATCAACTCTGCCACTGTTCTCCATATGTGCCACAGGCTATTTCTGCTCCCGTGTGTTGTCAACTGTAATATCCTTCGCTCACTCTCCTCATTCACTTCCATACTGAACTCCAGTGTAGCATGTCATAAGATGCTGTCGGTGAGGCTTCTCTTATATTTCACTCTGCTGAGCTGGAGCAGACTGAATTGGTTTGATTTGTGTATCCTAGGGTTTTTTTGTGGTTGTTGTTTTTGCCGTTGTGTGAGCTATAAGAATGCAACTGAAGTCCGCCTGTGCCTCTGTCCCTATAGCTTTCTTTACCTGCGTGTGTGTGTGTGTGTATTCCTGCTACAATGTGTTTACATGGTTTAGATGCACTTCCGTGCAATGAAATTAAATCTGACCAGAACAGTTGAGCTTCTTAGATGGCTCACTGAGGTGGCAGGGGGTTTCAAATCCTTTACTTTAAAGTGAGAGCAGAAATAGGAGATGTAAAAAATACTGCATCTACAATATCACCTTCGCTATATTCAGCTAAACTAAGTCATCAAAAGTATAAAAAAAATACATTGAGAAAAACTGATTTTACATTTTTTGAGATAATTGTTCAATCCTTTGTCCCATCTGTTAACATGGATAAGGTGGGGTTAACGACCTATACTTTAGGCAGCCACCAGGGGGCGATCAAAAAATGTTTTGGATTCACTTTTTTGGAAGCTGTCATGACGTCCATTTTTCTATGCAGTCCGCAGCGTGTACAGTGGTGTGGTTACTCACTCTCGACTGACAGCGTGATGGGCTGGCTCGTCTTGTTCTCGCCGTTCTTGTCGTTCACGGCTTGGACGTAGTATCGCCCGGCATCTGGGGCCACTGTGGACAGGATGACTAGCGTGTTGTCCAGGGTGATGGCACTGAAGAGACAAGAGCGAGACAAATAGAGCGTCTTAATTTAATTATGCATATCGAGAAAAAAAAAGTAAGAGCGGAGAAGTCTAATAGGTGTAAACAGAATCAAGTGAGACAGTTAAAGCTAGAAGTTAGGAAACATCTTGTGAGGAGAAAAAGGAGATGTGTTTCATCTTCCTTAAAAAGGTAGCACTGCACTGCTTCATTAAAGCTAAATATGTTTGAAGTCTGGCGGTGTGTCCACTTGATCCCGGTCCACTGAAAAGGGCATTAAACATTTTAACATTTCAATTACGCTGCTCAGGCTGCATTAGGTATATCGATTTACAATGTGTAAACAACGTGTCGGTGCTGACTGAGCAAGCAGAAATATTGACATCCGCTCCTGTTCATACTTCTGCTTATGGTGTGAAATATGATCACGATAAGGGCTTTTAATTGGCTATTTGTAACCCTCCATGTTTTGGCAGCTGACCACTTCTGGCAGGCAGCAACAGTGTCTTCGCCGTCAGCTGCTGAAGTGAAGTATATGAATAAATAAGCGCTGATCCCTTTTTCAGCAGGTGTCCTATAGGGGATAATACCTTGTGTCTTGTTGACTCTATCAAGTCCTCCCACGTCAATGTAGCAACCAGCGAGGGATAAGACTTCCTAACCCCCCCCCTCTCTGCCGCCGCCGCTGCCGCCTGGTGTTACAGCCCCCCGACTATGTTTACAATCAATATTTTCTTATTATCTGCGCCTGTTCAACAATCTGGAGGTAGATAGCTCGTTCCAACTGGGTGCCTTCCTCCACATATATCTTTTCCTCCGGCCTTATCCCTCCATCGACTATTCCCCTCCCACGTACCCCCCCTCCCCTCTCTCCTTCACCTCATCCATTCCTCCAGATGCTGGAGGTGGGCATGCGAGGAAGGGGATAACTGGTTATCTGTAACGACAGACTCACAACAACTGCCATACTGTATTTAGTCAAGTATTTCAAAGTTAAAAAAACCAAAAAACAAGTGGAAAATGTCAAACACAAATGTTCTGTAGCCCAACAAGTTTTATCGTGATCGTTTCAATGGTTGTGGTTCTGACTCACGATCTGTAATCTGTGACATTTCTGTTTGATTTTCTCTTTCATGTTTCTATTAAAGTTCCTGGCGCTATTGGCAGCCCGAAAACAGATGTCTAAGTAATCAATATAAACACAATTTTATATCTACTGCAGGTCATTGCTTCCTCTATAAAAGTATTTTGACTCTCGCAAAACTTGCGACCCCTGTTGTGCAAATCTTTAAAAGCTATTTTTCCAGCTCCTGTTTCCCTGGTGATTACGGCCTTCTTACTCTCCTTCTCTTCCTCCTCCTCCTCCCCCAACCAATCTCAGCCACTACAGTCCTCCAACCACTTGTTCCTCCATCCTTACCAAGACCTCATCAGCGGGGGGATCTAAGTACATGCTGTGCCTTATCAAGGCAGCAAGAGAGCTGATGAGAAGAAAAAAAAAGAAGTCAAATAGCGCAAGAAAAAAAAAAGGTCACAAGCACACACTGAACACATATGCAGGTTGAAATAAAAACCTCCTTAAATCCCCATTATAGCTCCAGGGATGTATAAAGGAAAAGCCTTTGACACAGGAGAGAGTTATATGCGCTGTTTGCTGCATAGAGCTTACCTGTGCTGTTAGCGTTTACAGTATGAAGACTTATGAGAGCCTTCCCCCGACTGATTGATTGTCAAATATCTCAAGAAGCGCCAGGCAATGGGCTCATTTGGGATTCCCAGTGCATGCTGAGACTAAAAACAGTCTTCCTAAAGGAGCTGGCAGGCCTCAATGGCTGCAGCTTATGATCTGCGGTAAATATTTAATGCTAGCTCGCTGGAGCGGTGACATCCTGGACGCACGGCCATGAATTATGGATCCCTTCAGGGACGCGGGTTGAACGGAAGTGTCCAAAGCGCTGAATGGATCCCAGGTGACTTCCCGGGACCTTTCTAAAACGGGGACACAATCCAGGGCTTAACATACCTGTCGCGTAAGAAACTCTTGAAGATAAATATACAGGGCGGTGCTGATAAGTAATGTATGACCTGGAGGGGACATCCTATTTTCTCTGGGATAATGTCAAGCATTGTATGAGGTGATCTTACAAGCTCTTGTTTCTATTTTTACCCTCAATTTCCTGTCCCTTAAAGGACCATTCACTACTAAATAACCACGTACAAGCCTTCAAAACTAGGCTGCAGCTAATATTTCACCAACAGCCAAAGCAGGTCTAGATTTCATCAGTGTTAGTGGGAACAGGAGGCAATTTTTCCCCTGGCTAGTTGATTTTAATGTGCTCCCATGCTGAATGTTCTTTCACCTCAGCCTGCAATCAGAGAAACTGCAGTGGGGGTCAAATGAAACTTTGTTGCACACCGTGTTCTTGGAGATCTTACCGCTAACTGTACTCGCTGGGCCTCGGGGATCAAAGACCACATGATGCAGGAAGAAATTAAAGGAGCCAATTACCCTGAATGGCTTTAAATACATCAAAGGAACAGGAAAAGGGAGATTTAAATCAGGTGAAACTCTCCATATTCACACTGCAGCCTTTTACCTCCGACGATACTGAAAGGGCAATAAGCTCGAATGCTGTTTTTCAGTCATTGTGTCGAGTTTCTTGTTGCAATTCCCAAGAACTGAAATCTAACAAACCACTACTCCTTATTTCACTGTTTCTTCATTGATTACCAACTAAAATAAATAAATAGTGGAAATGTGGGGGGATATTCAATCAAATTTCAAGGTAAAAAAAACACTTTTGACAACCTTTAAGCTCTTTACATACAGATGCTAATGTTAGCATTCAACCATTACCAAGCAAACATTGCCATTTGAAATAAATATACCCTTTACCTATAGTTTAACATATTTATAGTTGATGATAGCTAGCAAGTGGCTAAATGCTCACTTTAGCTGTTAGACTCTTTCTGATTATACAACATTGTTAAACAGGAATGATACGATCATTTCATGAAGCTATAAAGGCAAACATGCCTAGCTAACAGTAAAGTTAGCTTAAAGCTTAATGTAGCTTTCAGTCACATCCTCACCGTAACATTGAAGTGTCACACAATGCTATACGAGAAGCAAACTTTTCTAGTTAAAGATAGCTTAAACTAGGAGGTTGTGGAAGTTAGGAAGTGGTTTATTATTGACTTCATCTGTTGCCTGATTGAGTTTTAACTTGTTAGCTAGGCTATAAGTATGCGTTCAATCACATCCTAGCTATAACATTTAAGAGTCACACAATGCTATACGAGAACATAACATTTCTAGCTAATGATGGCTTTAACTAGCTAGGAGGAGGTTGAAAGTTAGTGGTTTATTATTGTTTTTAGCTGTTTTGTAATCAAGGTTTAACTTGTTAGCTTGGCTCTAAGTTTGCTTTCAGTCACATGGGCTACTAGATAACATTATCGTCTAACAGTGTCCAATTGTATAAAAAGAAAATGTACATTTTTGTTAGCATTAAGAAGTGGTTGAAAGCTTATTTCAGCTGCTCAAAACAAACGATCAGTAAGTATACTATGTGTAATATGTAAATACATGTATTTTCAATTGAGAGGCAGTTAAATGACAGTGGTGTGTTCCAATCCCTGTATTTATTTAATGTAGTAATGTATGTAATCAGAAGAGAAAAGATTGACATTAAAAGAGGGTTTTAGCTTCCTTTCCTGAGCTCAGTGTCAATGTCCATTGTGGGAATATGTTTGCTTTTAAAACAGACTGCTGAAGTCTTGCTTTGGTGTATTCTTTGTTTGATTGTATCTCTCTCATCCTCTGAATGAACGCATTCTGGTCATCCGTATTCAACTCCCCAGTCTCTCAGTGGTGTGCGTGCAGCTGTCTGCTCGTAACGATGCCTCACCACGCATCCGGCACGGTGCGGGGATTTATCAAGCCACAGAGCTAAGAAATTTGGACAAATCAGATATGTGTGAACATGCCCCCGTCTCTGTCGGCTTTTTATGTGTACTCTTGCATCTTTGTACGCTTTCCCTTTTTTATTCCAATCCAATTTCCTCCTCCATTATTGTTCTCCAGAAAGAGCTACGGTCCACAGGAGTGCCTGGCAGGCTGGACAGCTGCTCAGAAACATCTTGGCTGACCGCGCAGCTTTTCGGTGCAACCACAGTTTTCCGAGGCATTATTAGTCTCATATGCAATTACTTTCTCGCTGATCAATTTATTTGTGTTTGGCGTCGAGGGTGGCTTTTCAATGGCTGCCGGTCTTACAATGATTCTGTAGCACTTGAATCAATAATGATAATGAGGATTTATGTTTGACTGAAAAGGAGAGATGGCATTTTAAATGTTTAATTTGCCACTCGTTGCTTCCCTTTTCTAATTTTCATTATTACTAATAAATTACATTACAGAGGAAATTAAATAAACAATGATCCAGGGTTACGCTCTTTAATTAAGAACCCATTGTCCCTGGCAACTTGTTTTTTTATTTTTTTATTTTAAGAGCACATCTTTGTATCCATCCAACCACTAACTGTCAGTCTGTATGCATATCTTATAGTGGTAATCCAGTCCTGACACAGTGTGACAGAGCAGCGCCTGTTCTAACACACACATACACACACGCGCTCGGGAGTGTTTTGGCATCTGTCGTGGCTGTCCCCCTCCGCTGGGCCATGAGGGGCCTAACCTCGCTCCACAGCCTCAGACCTCCATTACATGCAGACAAATGGCCCTTGCGGCTGATGGCTTCCCCCCGGGAGGGAGAGGGGGGTCGGCGGGATCAAGCAGCTCACATGGCCGGCTAAGGTGTGAGTCAAACTACAGCCAGTGGAGAGATGAAAGGGGTAGGAAAGCAAGAGAGAGAACGAAGAGTGAGTGTGAGCGGGCAGGCTGCATGCCCGACTGCTCAATGGACCTGTGATGAGAAAAGCCACAGCTCCTGCGGATGGAGAGATGGAGGAGAAAGAGAGCGAGAGAAAGATGAGAAGAGGGAAGCGA